AGCCAAAAACCTGACCATTCTTAAATATATTCATATGAAACAAACATAGTAGCCAACATGTTGTTTACTGGAATGCAATACTTCAGATAAAGTTTCTTTACACCATCTAATAGCAAAAGAGGGATTGCGTTTGTTGTCATTCTGTTTTATGATACATATATATACACAAATAAAAGCACATTTATATACTGAACAAAAATATAAACGCAAAATGCAACAATTTCAAAGATTTTACTCAGACGGTCCAGCAGGTGAAGAAGCCGGATGTGGAGGTCTGGGCTTGCGTGGTTAAACGCAGTCTGCGGTTGTGACGTTGGTTGGATGTACAGCCAAATTCTCTAAAATGACGTTGGAGGCGGCTTATGGTAGGGAAATGAACATTCAATTCTTTGGCAACAACTCTGGTGGAAATTCCTGCAGTCAGCATGCCAATTATATGCTCCCTCAAAACTTGAGACATCTGTGGGGTTGTGTGACAAAACTGCACATTTTAGAGTGGCCTTTTATTGTCCCCAGCACAAGGTGCACCTGTGTAATGATCATGCTGTTTAATCAGCTTCTTGATATGACACACCTGTCAGGTGGATTGTCTTGGCAAAAGAGAAATGCTCACTAACAGGGATGGAAACAAATTTGTGCACAACATTTTAGAGAAATAAGCTTTTTGTGCTTATGTAAAATTTCTGGAATCTTTTATTTCAGCTCATGAAACCAACACTTTACATGTTGTGTTTATATTTTTGTTCAGTATACATAGTCCTACATGAAGCAAATGTTTGTAGGGTAGGCTATTATGAGAAAACAATTATTCAATAGCAACAAATTATAGGCTATATGCTGCGTTCAGATGCTTGTCGGAGTTTCCTATTTCCTACCTGTGATATCGGAAATACGACTTCGTTTCATTCTTTGTACTTTTTGGTCGGAACAATTCTTCAACCAATAATAAGACTTTAGCTATCTTGATAAGGTTGACAGGCTAGGTAACGTTGCTTATAATTAACTTAGCTAGCTTGCTTAACATTGACAATATCTGTAGTTATCAAAAATGGATTTGATGTCATCTTTTGTTTGAAAAGGTAAAAGGTCAGTGGTGAAACGTCACAACTCGGCAACAACATTTTCTCCGAGTTTCCCGACTTCTAAGCTAATTCCGACTTGAAGGGTCTTTCAAGTGAAACTTCCCAGTTGGAACTAGGAACTTCCAATTACTCGGATAGCACGTAAACGCAGCAATAAACCCGCTATAGATACACAACAACTATAATACAATTAAAGAAAATATGACAAGAAGATTCAAAAGAATAGTACTTTACAATAGGCCTATTGCATGGAAGAAACAAAAATGAGTTTGGCTGTGTGGTGGTCATCCTTTTAGTTTACAGATGATGAACCACTAATATAAACAATGAAACATAAATCATTTAATATATGAATTATATAAAACATCTGGTTTTGTATTTAATATGCCTATAAAATATTAAATTAGCTATTTATCCATGTTGACTTTAAAGTTAATAATTACGTAGGTAGGCCTACACACAAAACACTTTTTTGAAGTGCCTCCAAAATGTAGGCTGCTTCTTTCCAAAAATATAATAATTCTACAACAAAAATATTATGGTTATGGTTGTTGTGCTAGGCTATAGGCTTTGTGTTATTATCAAAGCGAAACATAATTCATTCAAACGTCTTACAATATTTGTAAGATATTGATGAGTTTATTGTGCCAAATTGAATACTCAGTAATAATGCGCATGCGCGTCAAGAGACCGCGGTAGGCCCTGCTGTTTTTCCAACTCCAGTTCAACCCAGCGCAGAAAAACAAGGAGCAGGAAAATCCCGATGAACAGACAAGGTGAGAATTATATTTTTACCGACAAAATCCACAATAATTTGGAAACGCGTCTGTCATAGTGCAGATGCAGTCATATTGAAGAGGAATAAATGGAGCTGTTTTTTTTTTTTTTTTTGCTATGTTTGCTTGATTCAGAAGGCCTGGTGACCCACATTCATAATCTAAGCTACAAATACCGGGGAGTGAGCAGCAGAACGCCGCAGATGTTTTTGATGTTTAAATATGCCCCGGGTTTCGAATGTTTACCATCTTTAATATTGTTGATATATCTGTCGCATAATGTGTTAACTTTGTTTCTATATTTAACCTGGTTGCTCGCAGTGACCCTGTTTTGGAGTGATGAAACGCGCAGTTGGTTTCGGGTGCGCGTTTGGAATGACAGCACAGTTGCGTCTGTTTCACTGTAATTTCTAGCGATGTTCATTTTGGGGTTGAACGCTGCGGTTGTGCAGCGAAGTGGACAGTAGCTGTGGATGTGATTGCACAGTAAAAATGTAACAATCGGAAGCTTTCTCAGGGATTTGGGCTCTACCGTGTGAAACAAATCCAAGTTACCCAGAACATTTTCACCCAGGTTCCGCGGACGCAACCTGTAAACGTAGCGAACCGGTTGATCCAGTGAGAAATACAAATCAATATTATGCAGAGGAAATCCGTTGGCTATAGCGGGGATGAACATTTAGCATGAGCTTGAATGGGTTTGTCAGTGATCAGATATGCTGCCAATGGGCATAATAGAAACTGTAATCAAGAATTAGCTACAGTTGCAATTCGAAACTCGGATTTTGCCTCATAGAATGAGGGAGAACATCGTGCGCCAGTAAACTAAATAGCTGCAGTCTTGAACATTTGCGAAAAATGCACATTAAATGTAGGCTATGGGTAAAAAAATGCAGACCACAGATAGTTGTATGCAGATACAGTGGCTCTTGTAAACAACATTTGAGCAGGTATACTGAACGCAAACATAAACGCAACATTAAACAATGTCAAAGATTTTACTGAGTTACAGTTCATATAAGGAAATCAGTCAATTGAAATAAATTCATCAGGCCCTAATCTATGGATTTCACATGACTGGGCAGGGGTGCGTATGATAAAAAAAATAGGCTACATGTATGCACTCACTAACTGTAAGTCGCTCTGGATAAGAGCGTCTGCTAAATGAGTAAAATGTAAGATGGGTGCAGCCATGGGTGGGCCTTGGAGGGCATAGGCCCACCCACTGGGGAGCCAGGCCCAGCCAATCAGAATGAGTTTCTCCCCACAAAATGGCTTTATGACAGACATAAATACTCCTCAGTTTATGGTAGAGAAATGAACATTCAATTCTCTGGTGGACATTCCTGCAGTCAGCATGCCAATTGCAAGCTCCCTCAAAACTTGAGACATCTGTGGCATTGTGTTGTGTGACAAAACTGCACATTTTAAAGTGGCCTTTTATTGTCCCCAGCACAAGGTACACTTGTGTAATGATCATGCTGTTTAATCAGCTTCTTGATATGCCACACCTGTCAGGTGGATGGATTATCTTGGTTAAGGAGAAATGTTCACTGACAGGGATGTAAACAAATTTGTGGAACATTTGAGAGAAATAAGCTTTTTGTTGCGTATGGAACATTTCTGGGATTTTTTAAATTTCAGCTCATGAAACCAACACTTTACGTGTTGATTTTATATTTTTGTTCAGTGTATATGGCTTTTGACTCGGCTACAATGTATTCCACTGGTAGAAGTCTAAATGGCAATAGGCTACTCAACTAGAACTATCTGACCATCATCAATATATTATTTTACTACCTTGATGTAGGCTACACATTTTTAGTTTAATGCATGGAATGCCTGATAATTGCAATTTGGGTGCACTGGTTCCTGTGATGCTCAGTAGGGTTGGACAGCCTTGAAAACATACCAATATGTTTCTTTATCAGCTGTAAAACAAGCAGTAGGGCAATTCCACGGTAGTTAACAGTGACACGAGACTGATTTTTCACTTTAAAATGTATGTCAAACAAAAAACAATGATTGCGAAGTTAAACAAACCATACAACTCTATGCACAAGGACTACTTTGAACAATTTCCACTGAAAATGTTTACAAAAACACATTTATTTGAACAGTGCAGATGCACATTTTAGTAACAGAGTGATGTGCTGTTCGTGTGGTCATTATGTTACCAAACTTTGCAACAGCACTCTGTTACCGTGGAATTTCCCAGTATCATCTAACAATGGCCAATGTTTGTCTAGTCCAGGATGGATATGTCATCTGTTATTGATAAGTTTCCCTCTGACTTATGCCGATCCAATATCTGCACTGACAGACGCAGCGTGTAACCAATGCTGAAGCATCTATTTAACCATGGAAATGGAATAAGAAGTTGTTGAGTGGCTCTATGGTGGAACAAGTTGTTCAGGGCAGGCCATGGTTAGTAATTCCTATTCTGTAATGGAATAAAGATAACGCACACTCAGGATCAATGCACACATTTCATTTAATTAGGCTAAGCTTTCAGTTGCAAGACCTTCATCAGAGCATACACATTCTTATCATTCTTAATTGTTATCCACCCTGAGCTGTATCTGTTTAGTTGACAGTACTAGAGATACCTAGTTTGCCCTGCATCTTGTGATCTCTTTAGTGCTGTGTCTGTGTGACCTCAGTGTTGTTGTTTGTGTTTAGGAATTCGTGGAGAAGTTGTCATTGAGCACTGCACACAGCATGGCCTTTATGGCCCTTGGCAGCTCCCTTCCCTCAAACCGTCATCGGGTGCCACGTCACATCACTCACAATATTGGGCAGGAAGCCATAACCTGCTGCACAGTAGCCTGTTGTCTGAATTCTAGAAACTGCACAGTGACTTTTGGTTTGACCGAGACCAAGTTAGGTGTGTCAGTCGCTCCCCAAATAGTACACAGTTTATTGCTTAGCCTAAACCTTGTATTCTTAGAAATTGCACAGTAAGGAAATACGTTTATTAGGAGATGTGCATTTTGACACCTAGACTCCGGCATACAATATTGTCTGCCCTCAGATGGAGTGACGTATGGTGTTGTTCATTTGATGCCTTGATAAAGTCCTATTGATTTGAAGGTGGCGTGAATTAGGTGGCTAGTTGATTGCCAGTCTTTTGCTTTTACAGAAAAACAACACAACAGCCTAGGGATCTCTAAGCTGAACCTGACAGCTGATTCACTGCAGCAGGGCATGGCAGAACAGATCGTGTGCCCACCGACTACAGTTACATTACAGCCTGATAGTACTATGTCCTTAGGGCTTTTGATCTTAGAGCATGTTGTTAGTTCTTCACTGCAAAAGACCTTTGACCGTCTTGAAATCAATCGCAATTGCAGTGTAAAAAAAACAACATCCAAACCTTTGTGAAATGTGTACATAATAATCAACTAGGGGCTGTGGAGTTCGGGAATTGATCCATGATGTGGGGGTGTGATGACTTCTCTGTTGGAAAGAATGAATGAGGAAACACACAAACAGAACGTCCTTTTTAAAGGTGGCAGAGTGAGGAGACATAGAAACAGGCACATATGAGTACGGCTGTAAGCCCACATCCCTTGTGTAGCTACTCTGAATTTACCCTCATTTTCATTCTGATCTTCCAGTAGAATGGAGGCTAATATCCAAATCCAGCTCGTGCCACTAGGCCTACTCCACACTGCTGTCCCCTTTTTAGGTATTGAGGTGGTCTTTTCCAGTAATGTACAGTAATGTATCTAGGTCTAAGTGTCATTTTAGTGTAGGACACCACCTCTCATTTCAGGATGTATGTCAACCGTTTGACGCAAACTGACCACTCTGTGTCGTGATGTTCAGGCAGAGATGGACGCAGATGGCTTTTTCTTCTAGCATAAGCTTGTCTGTGGTCTCTGGCATTTGTACACTAATGTGGTGCTGCCTGAAATTACAGCCTTTGTTATAGCAAAGCTTTTGTCACTGACAACAATATGTCACGTCTTTGACCATCGTCTGAAATAGCAAGCCATTAGCCAATTTTGTATTTTTGTATTTATGTAATGGGCATCTTATTGGAAAGGATAAATTGGCCTTTTGTTTTAACTCACAACACATTATATAGCATTGACCTCATCTTCGAATTGTCAGGTTTAATGTCTTCGTCTCTTGTGTATTCCTTGTATATTGCTAGAGGTTTGAGGGTAGGTAAACTTTAGTATAGCACTACCTAGGTCAGACATTTGCTAGTGAAGGACTGAGATAAATGTCAGTGGTGATTCAGACCAGACGGTGGATATTCTGTGTAGATCGTGATCTCCACTTAAGTGGTGCCGTCCAGTAGTAATGGAGGTCAGACTGGCTCTGTCTTTGGGCAAAGAGGATGGAAACAGGGATTAGTTTGCTTTCATCAGAATGTAGCCTAATATCCTTGATTTATTATAGCACTAGAATTGAGAGAATATCCTTCAATTTAACCCCCGTCCCCGTCCCCGTCCCTCTGTCTGTACAGTGGGGAGAACAAGTATTTGATACACTGCCGATTTTGCAGGTTTTCCTACTTACAAAGCATGTAGAGGTCTGTAATTTTTATCATAGGTACACTTCAACTGTGAGAGACGGAATCTAAAACAAAAATCCAGAAAATCACATTGTATGATTTTTAAGTAATTAATTTGCATTCTATTGCATGACATAAGTATTTGATCACCTACCAACCAGGAAGAATTCCGGCTCTCACAGACCTGTTAGTTTTTCTTTAAGAAGCCCTCCTGTTCTCCACTCATTACCTGTATTAACTGCACCTGTTTGAACTCGTTACCTGTATAAAAGACACCTGTCCACACACTCAATCAAACAGACTCCAACCTCTCCACAATGGCCAAGACCAGAAAGCTGTGTAAGGACATCAGGGATAAAATTGTAGACCTGCACAAGGCTGGGATGGGCTACAGGACAATAGGCAAGCAGCTTGGTGAGAAGGCAACAACTGTTGGCGCAATTATTAGAAAATGGAAGAAGTTCAAGATGACGGTCAATCACCCTCGGTCTGGGGCTCCTTGCAAGATCTCACCTCATGGGGCATCAATGATCATGAGGAAGGTGAGGGATCAGCCCAGAACTACACGGCAGGACCTGGTCAATGACCTGAAGAGAGCTGGGACCACAGTCTCAAAGAAAACCATTAGTAACACACTACGCCGTCATGGATTAAAATCCTGCAGTGCACGCAAGGTCCCCCTGCTCAAGCCAGTGCATGTCCAGGCCCGTCTGAAGTTTGCCAATGACCATCTGGATGATCCAGAGGAGGAATGGGAGAAGGTCATGTGGTCTGATGAGACAAAAATAGAGCTTTTTGGTCTAAACTCCACTCGCCGTGTTTGGAGGAAGAAGAAGGATGAGTACAACCCCAAGAACACCATCCCAACCGTGAAGCATGGAGGTGGAAACATAATTCTTTGGGGATGCTTTTCTGCAAAGGGGACAGGACAACTGCACCGTATTGAGGGGAGGATGGATGGGGCCATGTATTGCGAGATCTTGGCCAACAACCTCCTTCCCTCAGTAAGAGCATTGAAGATGGGTCGTGGTTGACTCTTCCAGCATGACAACGACCCGAAACACACAGCCAGGGCAACTAAGGAGTGGCTCCGTAAGAAGCATCTCAAGGTCCTGGAGTGGCCGAGCCAGTCTCCAGACCTGAACCCAATAGAACATCTTTGGAGGGAGCTGAAAGTCCGTATTGCCCAGCGACAGCCCCGAAACCTGAAGGATCTGGAGAAGGTCTGTATGGAGGAGTGGGCCAAAATCCCTGCTGCAGTGTGTGCAAACCTGGTCAAGACCTACAGGAAACGTATGATCTCTGTAATTGCAAACAAAGGTTTCTGTACCAAAATATTAAGTTCTGCTTTTCTGATGTATCAAATACTTATGTCATGCAATAAAATGCAAATTCATTACTTAAAAATCATACAATGTGATTTTCTGGATTTTTGTTTTAGATTCTGTCTCTCACAGTTGAAGTGTACCTATGATCAAAATTACAGACCTCTACATGCTTTGTAAGTAGGAAAATCTGCAAAATCAGCAGTGTATCAAATACTTGTTCTCCCCACTGTATGTGCCTGACTTTCTCTCTCCCTCTCTCATTAGGTTCAAGACACGACACACACATATCTTTACACAGAGGTTTACTTTCATGTGGTTCTAGGAGCAGATGGAAGCTTGTGTTAACATCTGTGGTACCGAACTCCCCATCCCAGCTGACTGACACAGTGCCGAGCCTTGGTTGTAAATAAGTTTAGGAGGTGTGTGATTGTGTGTGTTTCTGACTGGTGTGTGACTACTGTGGGAGCTTCAGAATGACCCAGATGTTTTACTTGTGATTAATCTCTAATCAAAACCTCTGGGAGTAGCAGAGCAGGCAGGGCGACTCTCTGGGCTGACGGTTCTAGAACAGAACCTTCAGCACTGCGCTGCTCTCACATGGCACCACCTTGTCCTCTGAAAACATACACAGTCCACCACAGCCAACCCCAATGAAACCCAAATCAACACCCTAACACCATCCTTGGTCCAACAGTTTATTGGATTAATATAAACCAAAACTGCGGACTTAAGAGCAAGAAAGAATGTGATGGGTGTTTTGAGGCTGTTTTCCCAAATAGTGGGTTGTATTAGGCTAGTTGCCTGTTCACTCTGGGTCTCTGCCTGCTCAAGACTGTTCACTCTGGGTCTCTGCCTGCTCAAGACAGTTCACTCTGGGTCTCTGCCTGCTCAAGACTGTTCACTCTGGGTCTCTGCCTGCTCAAGACTGTTCACTCTGGGTCTCTGCCTGCTCAAGACTGTTCACTCTGGGTCTCTGCCTGCTCAAGACTGTTCACTCTGGGTCTCTGCCTGCTCAAGACTGTTCACTCTGGGTCTCTGCCTGCTCAAGACTGTTCACTCTGGGTCTCTGCCTGCTCAAGACTGTTCACTCTGGGTCTCTGCCTGCTCAAGACTGTTCACTCTGGGTCTCTGCCTGCTCAAGACTGCGTTCTGGCACGATACCTTGTTTGTTTCGTTGGCTGGTCACAAGGACATTTGAGAAGTTTCAGGTGGGTCACGTCACAAGAATGTTAGGTAACGACTGTTTCATATTCCTACCATGTAGACTGGCCCAGACCACAGGACTTGATAAAATTTGAGTATGATTCTCATTGGTTTTTCTATTTTCCATGTGGATATTTTGAACAAAGCAGTGTGCTGAGACCACAGGCTGCAGTGGGTTGGTTGCCTTACAGGACATCTCTTAAAGTGAAGGAAGTAAGGAGATGAGGAAAAAGGCTGCATGGATTTTGAGGAATGTACTGTACAGTCTGTATGCAAGGATTCCATTTAGACTGGTGGCACCATTGGTGTGACGGTCTAGTAAGTTAATGTGGTCTGAAGAATTTCTGTATAAATGCTGTGATGAATTGAGGTTATGTGTATATGTAATTTAGATTTGATGATCTAGCTATGTGGCTGCCTATTGGGGGATGAGTCTTGAATTTGGGTTTCTCAAAGCGGGTCTTTGGGTTTGCCCAAGTAAAGTAAAGTCATTGGTAAAATGTGTCCAGTTAATAAGTCAAAATGGTGTCATGTAAGTGTTTTGGGATCATGGCCTGATTTTAAAAATAAATATGTACCTGACTATCTTGGGATAAAATATCTATTGAATATGGTTTCTGATGTTGGTGTGATTGTCTACTGTAGTACTTGTTTTCATTTGTGTTGTTGGTGTATTGATTTGTCTGCTATGATGTAGGCTAGTCTTGCTTAGAAAGCTCTGGACTTACTGAGGGCTCCTTGATGACTTTGCCAGAGCAGTCTGTCTGTATCTTGCATCTCCAGAGAGCCCACTCTTCCTCATTCAGCAGTCTGTAACTGTGGGAATTTCCCCTATAGCCAGTGATCTCACTGTCTGGGCTACAGCAGTCCGTCAACCACTGAACTGATGTCTCCCTCCACCCTCCCTCCATCCAGCCCCAGGACTGAGTTTGATGATATGAACATTAGACCTAATGGTGTTGATCTCAGCAGGAATACATTGTTGCTGGGCTGTAGTTGGTCATCTGTAGGGGAAATTCAAACCTTTTGGGATGTATGTGACAAACAGATTTCTTTGCAGAAAACCCTGCAACAAGTATTGGGATTAAAGGCTTAAAACTGAAGAAAGTTGTTGCTTTAATAAATTGACATCCCTGATCATCATCACCATTGGCTGTGATGCTAGCCTATATGCTGCTGTGCGCTCCAGTGTTTTATGATGATTTAGATTAGAAGTTTAATAGACATATGCAGGCAGTGTTTGGCTGAGCGTACCACCATCTGTAGCGCCTAGCGTTCCGCAACTGTGGAGTTGCCGTACCAGGCAGTGATGCAGCCCGACAGTATGCTCTCGATGGTGCTCCTGTAGAGCACGGAGGGCCCTCGGAGACAGTCTATATTTCTTCAGCATCCTGAGGTTGAAGAGTCTCTGTCGTGCCTTCTTCACCATGGTGTCCGTGTGGTTTGACCATCTCAGCTCCTCGGAGATGTGTACGCCGAGGAACTTAACGTTTTTGACCGTCTCCACGACGGCCCCGTTGATTAGGATGGGGGCGTGCCCAGGTATACAGGGAGTACAGGAGGGGACTGAGGTTGCACCCTTGTGGGGCCCCTGTGTTGAGAATCAGTGTCGTGGAGGTAATGTTGCCGTATGTGTGTGCAGTAGGTGAGGTGTTTCTTGACTCTGTTGTCTTATGAGTCATGCTAGTGTAGCAGGTGACTATGGAATCGGAAATGTTTTTGTTAGTCTGTTTGACCCCAGCCAATAAAGACAACCTTTGGACCAGGCGTGTCTGCACAACTTGTTCACATGCAGAGGAAAACGCTCATGTAGGCCAACACTCATGACACATATGGGGGTAGGTGGTGACCAGGGGACAGTTGGCCAGTTGGCATGGGATCTTTTAATTTCCTCCTCCCCTGTGCTGGCAGTGCTCATCCCCCTCTTTCTCTCTTTTTTTGAACCCCACTGACCCAGTTGGCTGCAGTGTGGGGTCCTTGGCATGGTTCAGGCCCCTGTGGGACAGTGGCGTGGCCCCTGCCAGCCTCTCCCTTCTCCCGCTGCCAGTGGAAACTGCTGCTCTACTCTCAGACATTCCTGTCTGTGGGCTGTGGGACACAAATGCAAACAAAGACTCCTTTTGTGCTGCCAGGGCTGCAGATGCATGTTTGTGGGTGGAACACAGCTGGCTGCCCAGTTCTGGGGGCTTCAGCAACCCATTGGTGGAGAGACTGGGCAGGGCACTGGGCAGCAGCATGGATAGAGGAATAGCTCCAGACCTAGGCTTTAGCCTAAGCCCAGCTACAGTACGGGTCAATGACCAACAGAAGAATCATCAAGCCTGCTGCTGTTTGTCAGTAACGCCACTTACCAAGAAATCCACTGTATTCTCCCTTTTCTTGGAAATGTCAGCCTACTAATTAGAAACCATTAACCACAGTGTGCACTGTAGCAGGCACACCCTCTCTTATTGTCTGAATGTGATTTAACAGGGAGAGGTGCAGCCTCCTATCTGATAGCGGGAGAGAAAGAGAAGGTGTATATGCAAAGTGTGTGTAAATGTGTATTTGGTTGCAGATGAAATCAAATGTTATTTGCCACATGCGCCGAATACAACAGGTGTAGACATTACAGTGAAATGCTTACTTAGAAGCTCTTTACCAACAATGCAGTTTTTAAGAAAAAAATTAAAGTGTTAAGTAAAAAATAGATAAGTAAAAACAAAACAAAAATATTTATTAAAGAGCAGCAGTAAAATAAAATAACAGTAGGGAGGCTATATACTGGGGGTACCGGTACAGTGTCAATGTGCGGGGGCACCGGTTAGTCTAGATAATTGAGGTAATATGTACATGTGGGTAGAGTTAAAGTGCATAAATAATAAACAGAGTAGCAGCAGCATAAAAGAGGTGGTTGGGGTGGGGGGGGGGGCAATGCAAATAGTCCGGGTAGCCATGATTAGCTGTTCAGGAGACTTATGGCTTGGGGGTAGAAGCTGTTTAGAAGCCTTTTGGACCTAGACTTGGCGCTCCGGTACCGCTTGCCGTGCGGTAGCAGAGAGAACAGTCTATGACTAGGGTGGCTGGAGTCTTTGATAATTTTTAGGGCCTTCCTCTGACACCGCCTGGTATAGAGGTCCTGGATGTCAGGAAATTCCCAGCAGTGAATGTGTTGATGCTCGTTGGTGGTTTCTGACTGCATTCGATTAATGAGGGATTCTCTGCCACAATGGCTGCGTTTACACGGTCCTCTGTAGCTCAATTGGTAGAGCATGGCGCTTGTAACGCCAGGGTAGTGGGTTCGATCCCTGGGACCACCCATACGTAAAAATGTATGCACACATGACTGTAAGTTGCTTTGGATAAAAGCGTCTGCTAAATGGTGATTTATTATTATTATTACACAGGCAGCCCAATTCTGATATTTTTCCACTAATTGGTCTTTTGACCAATCACATCAGATCAGAGCTGATCTGATTGGTCAAAAGACCAATTAGTGAAAGGAATATCAGAATTGGGCTGCCTGTGTCAATGCAACCTTAGAGCAGAACCTCTCCTCCAGCTTATTGTCTGAAGGTTTTAAATGTTGGCGATGCGAGCCAATGTACCCGTTTCTATGGCTATGGAGGACTCATTTTCCCCATCCCTACTGTAAGCTCCCTACTGCTGCTTTTCAGACGGTAACACTCGGGCTATCCTACCCACTCACTAATAGATGGTCCACAAATCCTCCTTGGTTTCAGGTGTCAGGATATGTCAGGAATGGTACATACAGGCTTAGGCTCAGCTTAGAGAGGACCTATTCTGTATGCCAAGGTCCATATGATCCAGATCAGATTTTTTTGTTTAATCTAGGTATGTTTTTTGTTCTGTTCTCCTTACCTCTCTTTTCATTCTTTGTTCTGCTCTGTTTACCCTGCTATGTTCATTTTAACCCTGTTGTATTTTAAAATGCTGCTAGACCAGAATAGCACTTTCCTGAATGGAATGAGTTTCTGCTGTGTAATGGCAGGGGGGTGGGCATGCTTGGTGATTGACTCTCTCTCTCTCATTTATATATATATTAAACACAGGGAGTTTCTACTGTATAACATAGAAAGCACACGTATGGGGAAAGTCTCTTCTCTATAGCATCACGGAACACTCAAACAGTAATGGATGTTATAGACTGCTAGCGAGCAGCGTCCAGTGATGGAGGTAGGTCCTCTCTCTGCGGTAGGTAGACCATCATAGGGCAGCCTCAGCCAGATATAAAGGGATTCTCTCTCTGCTATATTATAGAATAGGGGAAGCTCACTCCGTGATGGAGGGAGTCTCAACTGTAGAGGAATTCAGCTGGGCTATTTTTACCCTGCATGGCGCGGGCAGTTGCTATGGCGTTGCCGATGGGCACCGTCGCTATGAGTGCGTGACGACGAGCAGCACCGAGGATCCACTTCACACGCAGCACATCAGCACAATTTGTGTGTTTAGAAATGGTGAGAAAGTGTTGGTGAGTGCGAGAAGCGATGTATTTGAGGCTACTGAGAAATGATGAAGGGGCTTCTGTGTGGGAGGTGTATTTATCTGTTAGGGTGTATATGAGGGAGACAGAGGACATTTGCGGCATCAGTGATTTGAGTGGCTGCTTTAAAAACATTTATCTTTCCCTTCCACCCCTTCATTTTCCATTTCCCTCCCTCTCTCCTCCGAGTCTCCCTCTCCCTTCTCTTCGTAGTTCCTTTGTCTCACTAATGCCCCGGGGAAGCCAGGATGCATTTGGTTACTGTGTGATTGGTTTCCGAATGTTGTAATATGCCGGTTAGGGACTTGATTGGCTGTTCAGGGCTCATGGTGACATACTCTGCTCACTGGTTGGCTGCTCAGGGTTTTACGGTGACTGAAATTGCTCTGTTATTGGCTGCCTGTGGAGCTGTGATGAAGTTAAAGGGGAAGGAGGAAGAAAGTAGGTCATTGTGTCAGCAGGTCAGTGAAGCACTGAGTGTAGTTATACAAGCACAGCCTTTCGCTGCAGCTACCGCTAGTGTTGCCACTGCAACTATTGCTGCTTTAAAGGAAACAGAAATGTTGCTATTAACCCTACTTTCTATCATTCCTCTGCTCTCACGTCATGCTCTGTCTGCATTTTTTTCCCACTGTCAACACTGACCCTTTTCAGTGTTGACACAGTTTTAGTGACACAGTTTTAGTGATTCAGTCAGCTCGTTAAAGAACAGTGATGAATGAAACAGTGCTCTCTGCTTTGATCTGTTTACCCCTCCAAAAGCTGTAGGTGAGATGAGACACCACTCACTTGTTGTGACCCATATTCACCTTATGTAGCCCTGCCCACTTGACCCGAGCCATTTCGAATGCGTTTGTCTTTCAACTTCCTGCGCATTGACACACAAGCAAAACCATTGTGAAATTTGTCAAAACTATTAAAGAATGTTCACAGAATTTGAAATATGTTAATTATAATCTGTTGAGGAAAACGTATGAAAACATTTAAATGTTAGCATAATAATTGTTTCAATCAAAGATCAATGCTTGAATGGACAATGTTGACACAGAATATCAATGACAAAAGACAAACGGTGCCGAAATGTTTTATGTAGGTAACATTAGGATATGTTTAATCTGTTATGCCTCAAAGCTAACTAGCTAACCTGCAATGTTAACTCTATGGGAATGCTAATGTCGGCTTCCGAGTGCTTATACTACGAAAACGCACGTTTTTTCTATATTTTTCCCCACCACGAAATGACCATATCTTTTAAATTCTGTGCACTTTATTTATAGCCTGATGACTCGCACTAAATTATTCCGCTGCTCTGTCGTTCGATACATACTTGAGTCTGAGACGGCCATCATTTAAGTCGTTTGTGGTGACGAGGGGAGTCAACAGTGATTCTGAGTGTCTCAGACGTGATAGGTCCTCTGAGTATCAAAGTATCAAAGCCAATGACCAATTTTCAAATCGCTGCTTTACCCACATGTTCTGACTCTGGCCCAACCCATCGGTTTCTGGACCAATCAGATGGCGACCTTGTTGCCAGATTACATAAGGTGGCTAGAAACGCTGCTGCTGCTGTTACATACATGGTCACGTTGACAATTCATTAAACCTGTAACCTTATGTTATCGACAGAGACCCTCACATTGTATGTTATGGACAGAACCTTCATTCTCTGTGTTATGTGATGTGTTTGTGTGTGAGAGCCTGTGTGTCGTGCTGCCTGTGCAGGTCAAATGTATCTGTCACGTGCAGAGAGCAGAAAAATGGGCAGAGTTGAAAGTCAATGGGCCATGATAATGGCACCTCCCCCTTCCATTTAGGCACTTGGGGTCACACTTTATTTGGGTAGTCCATCTGTAGATGCTCTACAGATGCCACAGCACTCCCCTCATTCACCTAGACACTCCGCCACAGCCACCACACCCCAATGTCTGTCTCTGTGTCTTGGTCTCTCTCGGTCGCTCTCTTTCTCTCCTCAAAATATGTTCATAGTTTAACATTTTGGAAAGGATTCACTTTAACTCTCTAATGGTCTGTTCTATCCAGGCATTGGTCCAGTTTGTGTGAAAGCATTGCAATCTGTTGGGTCAGAATGGGATGAATCATGATACTGGTCATTTTAGGAAAGCTCACTATTAGCGACTTATATTGTTCAGTCGAGCTCCATTGTTGACGTCCTTGCATTGGCACAAGTAGGTATTATTAGGATCGCTAACCAGTTTAGAGAAGGGCCTGTGTCTATACCAGGATTTTGTCATGTCAGTTTGTGTTTTTGGTTGCGTATTTGAGGCTGTGGCTTTTGTGGCCTGTCTGGCTCTTTTGAATCAGCTTTCCCATCATCATGTGTCATCTCTAAGGATATAAGGTTATGTGTGCATCTATATGTAAGGTTATTTGTGTGTCTGTTTCAGGGTTTAAGGATGTGCGTGTTTCAGGGTATATGTCATGTGTTTTCTTATTTTAGATCCCTGAAGAAAAACATATATTTTCTAGTCCAGTGCCATAGCGGCGCCAGACGAACCATGTGATCGGTAAGTGCTCACCTCTGCTCTGTACTAATCAGTTTGATTTACAGCCAGTCCCAGATGGACCCCTAGACCCTACCCCTAGGCAAATAAGAAATATAGCTCCACTTAACCCACTGATATGCTAGTTGGAATTTTCGCCATATAACATTTCTCCAATCATTCATTGCAGATAGACAAGAACCTAGGGTACAGAGGCTATGGTTGATTTGGGATTGAGTAAATAGAACACTCTACAGGTTCACTCATGTAATGTATTCTGTTCCGTAACCAGTTAGAGCATCCGATGTAGCTGTCATGTGGTACGTCCACACCCAAACCCGGCGGAAAGCTCAGCTCAGCAAGGAGCCATTGACAACCGCTGGCCTTTGACACAGGATCCTCCCAGTGACTCTCGTAACTACCCTCCTCCCCTAGGGGGCACACAGACCTCTGCCATCCCCACAGTGCCTCCACACAGGCTGGACCTTCATCCTACACCACACTCTTTATCCTCCCACAGAGTCGGCTAGACAGGAGGTAAGGTTGGGCCGGGTGCTGCTGCCCTTCAGGAATGGAGGCTGTGGGTTATTCTGTGTGATAAACATTATTTTTAGTTTCAGGCCATGTACTGTAATTTCACTGTTAATCTCGCTTTTTCTGACAGGTTCATTCACAAATGTCTACCTCACGATTAAAAGGCCCCTCTCCACAACTGCTACCCTGAACAGGCTACAAGATGACTTCCAGTATAGGCGGGTGAGTCAGTCTACCAATCTCCTCCTACACTTGAGAGAAATGAACTACCGGTCAAAAGTTTTAGAACCTACTCATTCAAGGGTTTTTCTAGATTTTTTAGTATTTTCTACATTGTAGAATAATAGTGAAGACATCAAAACTATGAAATAACACATGGAATCCTGTAGTATCCAAAAATGTGTTCAACAAATAAAAATATTTTATATTTGAGATTCTTCAAATAGCCACCCTTTGCCTTGATGACAGCTTTGCACACTCTTGGCATTCTCTCAACCCGCTTCATGAGGTAGTCACCTGGAATGTATTTGATTTAACAGGTGTGCCTTCTTAAAAGTTAATTTGTGGAATTTATTTCCTTAATGCGTTTGAGCCAATCAGTTGTGTTGTGACAAGGTATACAGAAGATAGCCCTATTTGGTAAAAGACCAAGTCCATGAACAGCTCAAATAAGCAAAGAGAAACGACAGTCCATCATTACTTCAAGACATGAAGGTCAGTCAATATGTAAAAGGTCAAGAACTTTGAACGTTTCTTCAAGCGCAGTTGCAAAAACCATCAAGCGCTATGATGAAACTGGCTCTCATGAGGACCGCCACAGGAAAGGAAGACCCAGAGTTACCTCTACTGCAGAGAATAAGTTAATTAGAGTTACCTGCCTCAGAAATTGCAGCCCAAATAAATGCTTCACAGAGTTCAACTGTTTAGAGGAGATGAAACCACTACTAAAATGACACCAATAAGAAGAGGAGACTTGCTTGGGCCAAGAAACACGAGCAATGGACATTAGACCGGTGGAAATGTGTCCTTTGGTCTGGAGTCCAAATTGGAGATTTTTGGTTCCAACCGCTGTGTCTTTGTGAGAAGCGGTGTGGGTGAACGGATGATCTCTGCATGTGTATTTCCAACCGTAAAGCATGGAGGAGGAGGGTTTATGGTGTGGGGGTGCTTTGCTGGTGACACTGTCTATTATTTATTTAGAATTCAAGGCACACTTAACCAGCATGGCTACCACAGCATTCTGCAGCGATACGCCATCCTATCCGGTTTGGGCTTAGTGGGACTATCATTTGTTTTTCAACAGGACAATGACCCAACACACCTCCAGGCTGTGTAAGGGCTATTTGACCAAGAAGGAGAGTGATGGAGTGCTGCATCAGATGACCTGGCCTCCACAATCCCCCGACCTCAACCAAATTGAGATGGTTTGGGATGAGTCGGACCGCAGAGTGAAGGAAAAGCAGCCAAGAAATGCTCAGCATATGTGGGAACTCCTTCAAGACTGTTGGAAAAGCGTTCCAGGTGAAGCTGGTTGAGAGAATGCCAAGAGTGTGCAAAGCTGTCATTAAGGCAAAGGGTGGCTATTTGAAGAATCTCAAATATAAAATATATTTTGATTTGTTGAACACTTTTTTGGTTACTACATGATTCCATATGTGTTATTTCATAGTTTTGATGTCTTCACTATTATTCTACAATGTAGAAAATAGTAAAAATTAAGAAAAACCCTTGAATGAGTAGGTGTTCTAAAACTTTCGACCGGTAGTGTAGATATCCTACCCTACCTGCTCATCAAACTGGTCACTGAAACGCTATCTGTCAAATCACCTGTGGCTAAAAATCTATAAAATAACATGTTTTTTAAATGTTCTCAATCGGTACTTTACCTTGCCTGCACTCAGGCGCCATGGTGATTTCAAGCAACATTTGGTGGACCTTTTAGGTGTGTGTGACTGTCCTGTGTGTGGGTGGACTCAGTGTCTCTAGACCTGTTTTAACTGGCTGGGGTAGCTGAGTGACAGCAGGAATGTCCCACCAGCACGGGATCTCCCGCCTTAATCCCAGGATTAGCATGCCACTCAGCCCTGCTCCATTTTGAGTGGGTGGTGTTTTTACACTTCCCCTGGTGTGTGTGTGTGCCGTCTCATGTGACAGAGGGGGCCGGGCTGGGGCTTCTGTCGGCACCACTGAACTCCCCCGCTACTGTCATTAGAGCTGGGGAGGCGGGGGTGCGGTGGGGGGTCAGTAGAGAGTATGGAACATGACCTCATGCTGAAGGAGGGGCTTAATTTTGCCAATCAAAAGCAAATGGTTTCCTAGAAGGAGAAGTTGGGTTCCTAGAAGTACCCTGCTGAGTTTATGGCTGTTGTTCACTGTGGAGTATATCCTCAGTCTCTCCTGGCAGGGATATACTATACCTTGCCAGGTCATCATTTTAAATAAGCAGTTGTTCTTAATGGACTTGCCTGGTTAACTCTCTACACTCATACCCATATACAGGTTCAAATAGCAGATTTGGACGCTGATATTCGCCTAAATTGGAATGCAGTGGCTGTACAGAAACATGCTATGCATGACATCAGCTCAAGGGTTCTGAACACTGACAGCGGTTCTGAACGTGAACACTGCATGTGACAAGAAGTTGCCCCATCTTTTTTTTTGTCTGAGTGAGGGAAATGCTGTAAATTAAGAGGACTCAATGTAATTTGAAAGATGAGACATTAAGGATTATAATAAATACCACTTTGATGTCATACAAGCAAGCCAAACACCTGTTAGTCCAAATCTGCACTTCACATTTCCATGCCATAAAACTAATTTCATATACAGTGTCAACGTTTATGATCACTATGCTTGATGTACAGTTACAAGATGACATGGTGTCATACCCTGGGTTGTTCTGAACAGAATGAGCCTATGTCTGTGGTATTGTGAAGAAATTTGGTGGGGAACACGCATCTGAATGCACTCGTGACTCTTTTCTATGTGAAAGCCTAACACTGTAAGATCGTATTTTGCAACTTAGCTAGCCATGTTGGCAATAGAACATGCTTTCAAATTATGCCCACCTGACCAGATTGTGATTTATAATGGACCGTTTTTGGAATGTGTAAACAACAACAGTAATTGTGTGATGGCGGCGATGCTGGGCTGTGTTCCAAAGAAAACAACTACAAGTCTGCTTGCTCTAGTTCCTCAACAGCACAGCTGAGAGCTCAAAATAGTACCTTATAGTTGAAGACTCTTCTTTGAGCCATAAAAGTGCATTGAAATGATGTAGGAACAGTGCACACTTTGAAGAGGTACAGTGCCTTCAGAAAGTATTCACACCCCTCAACTTTTTCCACATTTGTGTTAAGAAGTGGGATTAAAATTGATTTAATTGTCATTTTTGGTAACGATCTACACAAAATACTCTAATGTCAATGTGTAAGAAAAATTCTAACATTTATAAAAAATAAAATAAAAAATATCTTGAGAGAATACAGTTGAAGTCAGAAGTTTACATACACTTAGGTTGGAGTCATTAAAACTCGTTTTTCAACCACTCCACACATTTCTTGTTAGCAAACTATAGTTTTGGCAAGTCGGTTAGGACATCTACTTTGTGCATGACACAAGTAATTTTTCCAACAATTGTTTACAGACAGATTATTTCACTTATAATTCACTGTATCACAATTCCAGTGGGTCAGAAGTTCACATACACTAAGTTGACTGTGCCTTTAAACAGCTTGGAAAATTCCAGAAAATGATGTCATGGCTTTAGAAGCTTCTGATAGGCTAATTGACATCATTTGAGTCAATTGGAGGTGTACCTGTGGATGTATTTCAAGGCCTACCTTCAAACTCAGTGCATCTTTGCTTGACATCATGGGAAAATCAAAAGAAATCAGCCAAGACCTCAGAAAAAAATTTGTAGACCTCCACAAGTCTGGTTCATCCTTGAGAGCGATTTCCAAACGCCTGAAGGTACCACGTTTGTCTGTACAAACAATAGTATGCAAGTATAAACACGCAGTCATCATACCGCTCAGGAAGGAGACGCGTTCTGTCTCCTAGAGATGAACGTACTTTGGTGCAAAAAGTGCAAATCAATCCCAGAACAACAGCAAAGGACCTTGTGAAGATGCTGGAGGAAACAGGTACAAAAGTATCTATATCCACAGTAAAACTAGTCCTATATCGACATGACCTGAAAGGCCGCTCAGCAAGGAAGAAGCCACTGCTCCAAAACCGCCATAAAAAAGCCAGACTACGGTTTGCAACTGCACATGGGGACAAAGATCGTACTTTTTGGAGAAATGTCCTCTGGTCTGATGAAACAAAAATAGAACTGTTTGGCCATAATGACCATCGTTATGTTTGGAGGAAAAAGGGGGGTACTTGCAAGCCGAAGAACACCATCCCAACCGTGAAGCACGGGGTGACAGCATCATGCTGTGGGGGTGCTTTGCTGCAGTAGGGACTGGTGCACTTCATAAAATAGATGGCATCATGAGGAAGGAAAATTATGTGGATATATTGAAGCAACATCTCAAGACATCAGTCAGGAAGTTAAAGCTTGGTCGCAAATGGGTCTTCCAAATGGACAATGACCCCAAGCATACTTCCAAAGTTGTGGCAAAATGGCTTGTGGAAGGCTACCCGAAACATTTGACCCAAGTTAAACAATTTAAAGGCAATACTACCAAATACTAATTGAGTGTATGTAAACTTCTGACCCACTGGGAATGTGATGAAAGAAATAAAAGCTGAAATAAATCATTCTCAACATTTTTACTACGATTAAATGTCAGGAATTGTGGAAAAACTGAGTTTAAATGTATTTGGCTAAGGTGTATGTAAACTTCCGACTTCAACTGTACATGTTAGAAACACCTTTGGCAGCGATTACAGCTGTGAATCTTTTTGGGTAAGTGTTTAAATGCTTTGCACACCTGGGTTGTACAATATTTGCCCATTTATTCGTTAAATAATTATTCAAGCTCTGTCAAGTTGGTTGTTGGAAATGGCGTTCTAGCAATGTCTTGCCATCGATTTTTAAGCTGATTTTTAAGTCAAAACTGTAACTAGGCCACTCAGGAACATTCAATGTCGTCTTGGTAAGCAACTCCAGTGTAGATTTGGCCTTGTTTTAGGTTATTGTCCTGCTGAAAGGTGAATTTGTCTCCCAGTGTCTGTTGGAAAGAAGACTGAACCAGGTTTTCCTGACTGTGCTTAGCTGTATTCCGTTACTTTTTATCCTACAAAACTCCCTTTCCGATGACAAGCATACCCATAACATTTTTAAATTTTAGTCGTTTAGCAGACGCTCTTATCCAGAGCGACTTACAGTTTAGTGAGTGCATACATTTTTCATACTTTTTTCATATGATGCAGCCACCACCATGCTTGAAGATATGAAGAATGGTACTCAGTTTTGTGTTGTTGGATTTGCCCTAAACATAACGCTTTGTATTCAGGACAAAAAGTGCCTTGTTGCAAACAGGATGCATGTTTTGGAATATTTTTATTCTGTACAGGCTTCCTTTTCACTCTGTCATATTTAGGTTAGTACTGTGGAGTAACTACAATGTTGTTGAGCCATCCTCATTCATTTTTTTTATATCACAAACATTAAACTCTGTTTTAAAATCATCATTGGCCTCATGGTGAAATCCCTGAGCTGTTTCCTTCCTCTCCGGCAACTGAGGTAGGAAGGACGTCTGTATCTTTGTAGTGACTGGGTGTATTGATACACCATCCAAAGTCTAATTAATAACTTTACCATGCTCAAAGGGATATTCAGTGTCTGCTTTTTTTAAATTTTTTAGACATCTACCAATCGGTGCCCTTCTTTGTGAGGCATTGAAAAACCTCCCTGGTCTTTGTGGTTCTATCTGTGCTTGAAATTCACTTCTCGATTTTGAGGGACCTTACAGATAATTGTATGTTCGGGGTACAGAGATGGGCTAGTCATTCAAAAATCATGTTAACCACTATTATTAACACAGAATGAGTCCATGCAACTTATGTGATTTGTTAAGCACATTTTCACTCCTGAGCATTTCATTTTACATACATTTTGAAAATGTTCTACCAAAAAATTCCACTTCACATTATGGGGTTATTGTGTGTAGATCAGAGACACAAAATCTAAATTTGATCAATTTTAAATTCAAGTTGTAACACAACAAAATGTCGAAAAAGTACTGGGATGTGAATATTTTCTGGAGGCACTGTATGTAGCCACTTGTAGACACCAGTTAGACCTCTCTCAAACCCCTTTTTTTGTTGTTGTCTCAAACCCCATTTTTTTGTCTTATGTTGCACCTACCCCAAATTTGCCATGCATATTCTTATGTTACTGAATGTATCCAGAGTATTTTCAGATTTCGTTATTAACAAATGCAGCGAAAAGTACACAATGTGAAATGCACAGATAATCAACAGTGTATCGTTTGGATTCAGTCTTGTCAGATGAAAGCTGTGTTCGAATACTTTAGACCAGGGTTCTTCAATTCCGGTCCTGGAGGGCCGAAACACCTCTGTTTTTCATCCTCTCCTTCTAATCAGGGGCTAATTCAGACCTGGGACACCAGGTGAGTACAATTAACTACCAGGTAGAAATAAAAAACAGAAGTGTTTCGGCCCGCCAGGACCGGAATTGAAGAACCCTGCTTTAGACTAACCGTACTATTTGTGACGTAAATTGAGTGTATAGTATGCTTATTGGTCATAGTATGGATATAGGTAGTATGCCAAAAGTTCACGGATGTCGTAATACATTTGTCAAAATACGAAGGATACAAGCAGTGGACACTTTCCGTACTTTTAGGGCCCATAATGCAATTCTTCAGGAAATGGGCGTGGCCTCACAACGTTTTCAGATTTGAAGAAAATGGCGGAAAATATGCAGCAACGAGAGTCGATACAAATTCATTGCTTTAACTAATTATGACAAATGTTAAGAAAATGTTGAACAATGTAATAAAGAAATGACTTTTCAACTGATAGCGAGCTGGACAGAGTGAAGATACTATAAATGTAGGTCCATTATTATTTCTACACAGTTTCGATTTGTTTTTTGTTATTTCAATGTCGATTTGAGATTTTTTTTCAGGGGAAAACGAACAAAAACTAAACAAATCGAAACTGGACCCGCAGGCCAGATTGAATGGGCCTTGAGTTTGACACGTAGTTTAAGGTATGTTGACGGTGGTTGTGTAAATATGTTTTGTGTGAGCAGGGCCTCTTGCTCATTGTCCATTGGTTTCAGAGGAGAATAGTGTTTTGTTGCCACATCCATAGAGCCCTCAGGTCATCTGGAGCTCCGCCTCCTGTAAATCAGAGGTTAGACCTGCCGAACACTATTACCACCATCTTAAATACACAATCCTCAGGTTTTACATCTTATTAAAACACGCCAGCTTTAGGTGGCCTGATCTAATTGTGTGCCATGGGTGGAATTTCATTTGGTCATGTGGTGTCTTTATGGACATGTTGTTGTTAATGCTCTGATCGCCAGCAAGGGGAATGTAATAAGAAAGTTATTATTTCCATCCATATCAGTTCACATTTCTCCCGAGTCCCATTCATTCTCATATGAGAGCAAACACCATTAGGGTTAATGATAAACCAGAGCTTGACTGTACTTATCTGTCTTTGGCTGTGTGTGGGATGTACTATAGAGCTGGGACGATAAACCGAAAATTACCAACACCGACCTTGTCCTCTTACCGGAGCATTTTGCTTAGGTCGGTCATTTTCTGTGATTTTTCTACACAACGTTCCTGCACATTTTTTTGTTCTAAAACCATTATTTGGCCAACAGTAATAGCCTATGCATTATGTTGATTCCTGCAATGAAACTATCTGCCTGTTTCGCTGTCGGCTGCTGTGTGAGCGAGCCACTCGCTCCCTCTCCCCACTGTGCGCACAGAGGGAGGGAGAGATGCTTTCTAAAAAGCACAAGCATATGACCATTGCTCCAAATGCAATTGCGGGACAGACTGTTTTCAAAGCAACTACTGTTTATTTCTCAAATCTTAATATTGAGTTCATGCCACCACTTTACAACCTGAGGTTGGTTTTGATGTGCGGAATGCGCCATTTGCGCTGAATAGGCTTACATCAACTGGCCTAGTACTGAAAAGTTTTTTGTTGGACATTACATTTACTGATAGCCATATAGGCTAATTGATTAATCTATCTAGCAACAAGAACATATTTAGAGTTAGCAATCTAGCTAAGTGTTTTGAGTTCCCACTTCCTCCAGTGGTGAATAATATCGCCTAGAACAGGGGTGTCAAACTCATTCCATGGAGGGCATAATGTCTGCAGGTTTTTGTTTTTTCCTTTCAATTAAGCCCTACACAACCAGGTGTGGGGAGTTCCTTAGTAATTAGTTACCTTAATTCATCAATCGAGTACAAGGGAGGAGCGAAAACCTGCAGACATCTCTGCCCTCCATGGAATAAATTTGAAGCCTAGGCCAATAGGCATCTGCACAAAGATGTCGGCAAATTCATCTCTGAAGAGCCCAAAATAAATCTGATCATTCTGGATCCTATTTTAAAATATCAATAATGCATTCCCTGGATATGTTAGATGCAATAACTTACTTTTTCTATCATAGGCTATACCATCTGTTGTCTTACTTGGCACAACAACTTCAAAAAAACTGCCACTAATGGAAAGTAGGCCTAACTGTCCATTTAAAAAAATATATATATTGTTGTATTTATCACTATCAAGTAAAATAGTTACATTTATCATGATAGGACTTTTTGTCCATATCGCCCAGCACATGGTTGTAAAATGCTTGTCTACTCTTCATTACTGTATTTGTTGTTTGCTATTAAACTATTGAGTTTCTACATTGTTGATTTTTAATGGGGTCGTCTAAAAATAGCATTGGTGAGTGTAATTGAAGCTGATTTGTTCGAAGCACCCCGGGGTAAAAAAACAACACACGCACCACATTATTCTCATACTCACACAGAAACGCATGAAGGCAAATATGGGCACAAGATGCGCGCATACGTCATTCAACAGAATGTCACGGGCTCAGATCAGCACTCATATGCATTAGCATGATTCCCCCCCCCCCCACCACTCCAAGGACTCTTGGTTAGTGGTTCATGAATTATTGTTCAATGAGAAGTGTGCAGTGAAAATAGACCTTGGAGGGAGCAACCTTGAGGGACTCTTATTTGAGTCAGAAAAGGATGTTCATATGATAGGGAAGATATACAAAACCTTGCAGAGAGCATATCCAACAGACAATCTCTTAGAAAAAAGAAAACTATTGGAACCAAGACTTAAAAATAACTGATGTTGGCACAAGATGGAGGGAATGTTGGAGCATAACTAACGAAATTACAGTTAATGAAAATGTATGCTTAATCCAGTATAAACTATAATGTATAGCATTTATTATACAAGAGACAAAATGCACAAATTCTACAGCACAACGGCAGTCATGTCTTAAGTGTAAAACGAATAATGACTCAATAATCCATGCTTTCTGGGAATGCTATAAAGTCTGTAAATTGTGGGCAGAGCTAGAAAGTTGGCTGTCAGAAGTATTACAATGTAAACTTACTTTTAATCAGTCTGTCTGCATATTTTAAGACATGGCATATGGGTGTGTAGTCAGTACTTGACTTGGGCCGGAGCTGTCCGGAACGCCATACAGGCACTTCTAATTTTTGGGGAATTGCGCCTCGGCTCCACTATAAAAACAAAGTAGCCTTTCGCTGGCCCAGATTCACACACCCTGTCAAAAAAGGTTGATCAAAGCAGAATGAAGGCGGGATCTTCATTGAATAGCAATGGAGAGTGGGCATTCATTTCCTGACTACTCATTATTCAAGTTTATTTGCCACTAGTCTGTGAATCTTTGAGTGACAGTAGGCTGTTCAAGATTGCACTGATTGAAAATGTGCCAGCCTGAATGGCATGATGCTCTGTTCCAAGTTGTCAAATGAGGGTTTGTACGGTCAGGAAAAGTAATGTAAATTCGTTTCATAATTTTTGTTAATGTAATTAATGAAAGCACACTTTTAAATATGATCAATCAATAAAAAATAAAAAATAATGACATACTTAACTATACTGAACAAAAATATAAACGCAACATGCAACAATTTCAAAGATTTTACTAAGTTAGAGTTCATATAAGGAAATCAGTCAATTTAAATAAATTCATTAGGCTGCACTTGAAGAAACCTTAAAAGTTCTTGAAATGTTCCGTATTGACTGACCTTCATGTCTTAAAGTAATGATGGACTGTCGTTTCTCTTTGCATATTTGAGCTGTTCTTGCCATAATATGGACTTGGTCTTTTACCAAATAGGGCTATCTTCTGTATACCCCCCCCTACCCTGTCAATACACAACTGATTGGCTCAAACGCATTAAAGAAGGAAATAAATTCCACAAATTACATTAAAAGAAGGCACACCTGTTAATTGAAATCCATTCCGGGTGACTACCTCATGAAGCTGATTGAGAGAATGCCAAGAGTGTGCAAAGCTGTCATCAAGGCAAAGGGTGGCTATTTGAAGAATCTGAAATATAACATATTTTGATTTGTTTAACACTTTTTTGGGGGGGTTACTACATGATTATATGTGATATTTCATAGTGTTGATGTCTTCACTATTATTCTACAATGTAAAATTGTAAAAATAAAGAAAAACCCTTGAATGAGTAGGTGTTGTAAAACTTTTGACTGGTGGTGTACTTTTTCATGTAGGCTATAATAAGTCATGAAAATGTGGTTAAGTACAGTTTAAGTCGTAAGTTTACATACACCTTAGCCAAATACATTTAAACTCAGTTTTTCACAATTCCTGACATTTAATCCTAGTAAAAATTCCCTGTCTTAGGTCAGTTAGGATCACCACTTTATTTTAAGAATGTGAAATGTCAGAATAATTGTAGAGAGAATTATTTATTTCAGCTTCCCAGTGGGTCAGAAGTTTACATACACTCAATTAGTATTTGGTAGCATTGCCTTTAAATTGTTTAACTTGGGTCAAATGTTTCAGGTAGCCTTCCACAAGCTTCCCACAATAAGTTGGTTGAATTTTGGCTCATTCCTCCTGACAGAGCTGGTGTAACTGAGTCGGGTTTGTAAGCCTCCTTGCTCGCACACGCTTTTTCAGTTCTGCCCACAAATGTTCTATAGGATTGAGGTCAGGGCTTTGTGATAGCCACTCCAATACCTTGACTTTGTTGTCCTTAAGCCATTTTGCCACAATTTAGTTTACATACACTCAATTAGTATTTGGTAGTATTGCCTTTAAATTGTTTAACTTGGGTCAAATGTTTCGGGTAGCCTTCCACAAGCCATTTTGCCACAACTTTGGAAGTATGCTTGGGGTCATTGTCCATTTGGAAGACCCATTTGCGACCAAGCTTTAACTTCCTGACCGATGTCTTGAGATGTTGCTTCAATATATCCACATCATTTTAATTCCTCATGATGCCATCTATTTTGTGAAGTGCACCAGTCCCTCCTGCAGCAAAGCACCCCCACAGCATGATGCTGCCACCCCCGTGCTTCACGGTTGGGATGGTGTTCTTCGGCTAGCAAGCTACCCCCTTTTTCCTCCAAACATAACGATGGTCATTATGGCCAAACAGTTCTATTTTTGTTTAATCAGACCAGAGGATATTTCTCAAAAAAGTACGATATTTGTCCCCATGTGCAGTTGCAAACCGTAGTCTTGCTTTTTTATGGCGGTTTTGGAGCAGTGGCTTCTCCTTGCTGAGCGGCCTTTCAGGTTATGTCGATATAGGACTCATTTTACTGTGGATATAGATACTTTTGTACCTGTTTCCTCCAGCATCTTCACAAGGTCCTTTGCTGTTGTTTTGGGATTGATTTGCGCTTTTCGCACCAAAGTACATTCATCTCTAGGAGACAGAACGCGTCTCCTTCCTGAGCGGTATGACAGCTGCGTGGTCCCATGGTGTTTATACTTGCGTACTATTGTTTGTACAGATGAACGTGGTACCTTCAGGCGTTTGGAAATTGCTAACTGACCTAAGTCAGGAATTGTGAAAAACAGAGTTTAAATGTATTTGAAAAGGGTGTATGTAAACTTCTGACTTCAACTGTACATGTTAGTGTCGTCAGTCCTGGTCCGCTGAGTAAGCAAAAGGTTCTCCCTTCCAAAACAAATTAGTTGCATTCCTGGCCGTTTTGCCTCAATACCAGCTGAGTCACAGAGCACGGGGCTCTGTCTAAATTTAGCCTATGCCTGGGCTGGGGTAGCAGTCTGGCCAACTCTATCTGCACCTCTTATGTTTTGGCCCGAAATAAATATGGTTGGTTGTTTTGCAGGGATGACGCCAGCAGTATCTTTGATGGGTTATTGGAAGAAGATGAAAAGGACAAAGCAAAACGGTGAGGTCTTTATGAGCTCAAGAACCACATTAAAGACAACTCTGTACAAAGGCTTAGTTGGATCATTGTGTTGTTTTTGTAAGAATCTTAGTATGTGTATTCTTATGTTTCTCATGTCCAACCCTCCAGAGTGTCCCGTAACAAGTCTGAGAAGAAGCGCAGAGACCAGTTCAATGTCCTCATCAAGGAGCTGGGTACCATGCTGCCGGGCAACACCCGGAAGATGGACAAGTCCACCATCTTACAGAAGAGCATCGACTTCCTGCGCAAGCATAAAGGTAATGACCTCTCCTCCTCCTAGCCATTGGACATCAACATGTCTGGAAGAATAGGAACATTTCTGTGTTTTTACCAAGGTGAGTACTTCATGTCAGTTATGCCCTCTTCTCTGTGTCTCTGTCAGAAATAGCTGCGCAGTCGGAGTCGAGTGAGATCCGACAGGACTGGAAACCTCCTTTTCTTAGTAATGAAGAGTTCACACAGCTGATGCTGGAGGTGAGTGGCACTCGTACCTGTTTTCTACATAGTTTACTTTCTCACATTCTATTTTGCAAGTAGATGGTGTTTCAACAACTGTTTTGTATCTGCTAGGCGTTAGACGGCTTCTTCCTAGCAATTATGACAGATGGGAACATAATCTACGTCTCAGAGAGTGTTACATCTCTACTGGAACATCTTCCTGTGAGTATTCACTCAGTACATATATATGAGTTAATGCCTACAATATGTAAGGATGACATCCATGACCAAGGATGACATACATGACTAAAGTTGACATTGTGTGTTTGTTTCAGTCTGACCTGGTGGATCAGAACCTGTTGAACTTCCTGCCCCTGGTGGAACATTCAGACGTGTATAAAGCCCTGTCGTCTCACATACTGGAGGGAGAGACGCTAACGCCCGAGTATCTCAAGAGTAAGTACTGGAGTTGTTTCAGTATTGCCTAGTAGTTTCTATAATTTCCATGGTCTAAATGGCCTATGTCAAGTTTATTTGGCCACAGCATGCCATGAGCAGATGATTTGTTTCAGAACTAGATTAGTTTATTTAAACCAAGTCTATCAAATTGTACTCTGCTTTATTGTATGATTCATTTGTTTTCAGCAAAAAACCAGTTAGAATTCTGTTGCCACATGCTCCGAGGGACGATCGACCCCAAAGAGCCTCCTGTGTATGAGTATGTTAAGTTCATCGGAAACTTCAAGTCCCTGAATAATGGTACATTTTCTTTATATTGATTTAGGGAAAATTAGGCTTTGAATGTTGTTCACAAGTAGCTGGTCTGTATTTAGTTTGTGACCATAAATGCACTTAGTCATTTCTGACTTTTGGTCAGTTTAAGTTGTTGTTTTCCCATTCTCCTAAAGTGCCTAACTCGACTCGAAATGGCTTGGAAGTGGTGATCCAGCGGTCACTCCGGCCCGCTTTTGAGGACCGAGTCTGTTTCATAGCAACTGTGAGATTAGCCAAACCACAGTTTATCAAGGTAAGACAATTGGAATTCCAGAGACTTATATATCACAGACTGCATATTTCGGTAGCTAGGTAACCAAGTATGTCTAATGTTGTACTGTAAAGTGTCCTTAGTGTAAGCACTGTAAATGATTTCCTTTGTATGAGATGTAAAATCTCATTTTTTCTCACTCACCCCACAGGAGATGTGCACTGTGGAAGAACCCAATGAAGAATTCACCTCTAGACACAGCTTAGAATGGAAGTTCCTCTTCTTGGACCACAGGTAATGTGTGCTGTCTGGCTGTCTATATCCATTACTGTGTGTGTTTACTTGCCTATGTCGTGTAAGAGAGAGTTAGTCTCTAGCCCCGGCCCGCTAGCACACGCTAGCCGTGGCCTCTTGCTCGCTAGTGCTTTAGCAGCCCCCGAACTACCTCCGAACTATCCTATTGCTGTTCACCGGACCTTATGATAACACAGCTATACAGCTGATGCCTGCTGGACTGTTCCTTTTACGGTACCGCATCCTGTTTATGTTTAGCCTCAGCCCAAACTGTGTCGTCATTACCAGCTGTTGTCTTAGCTCTCTCAAATTACACCTGTGATTGCTTTATGCCTCTCTCCCATGTCAATATGGTTAGCTTATTGTTGTTTCGGTTATTTCTAATTGTACTATTTCACTGTAGATCCCCCAGCCCAGCTAAACCTGCCTTAGATAGCTCCTTTGTCCCACCCCCCATACACGCGGAGACCGACTCAATTGGTGCCTCCAGTGATGCTATCTCTTTCATTGTTACCCAACGCTTAGGTTTACCTCCACTTTACTCATATCCTTCCATATCCTTGTCTGTACATAATGCCCTGAATCTTTTCTACAACGCCCGGAAATCTGCCCCCTTTATACTATGTACCCAACGCACTAGAAGACCAGTTCTTAAAGCCTTTAGCCGTATCCTTATTCTAGTCCTCCTCTGTTCCTCTGGTGATGTAGAGGCTAACCCAGGCCCTGCAGCCCTCAGTATCACTCCTACTCCCCAGGCGCTATCATTTGTTGACTTCTGTAATCGCAAAAGCCTTGGTTTCTTGCATGTTAATATCAGAAGTCTACTTCCTAAGTTTGAGTTATTCACTGCGTTAGCACACTCCGCCAACCCAACAGTGTCTGAATCCTGGCTTAGGAAGGCCACCAAAAATTCTGAAATGTCCATACCCAACTATAACATTTTCCGTCTAGATAGAACTGCCAAAGGGGGTGGAGTTGCAATCTACTGTAGAGATAGCCTGCAGAGCTCTATCATACTATCCAGGTCTGTGCCCAAACAGTTTGAGCTTCTACTTCTAAAAATCCACCTTTCCAGAAATAAGTCTCTCACTGTTGCCGCTTGCTACAGACCCCCCTCAGCCCCCAGCTGTGCCCTGGACACCATATGTGAATTGATTGCCCCCCATTTATTCTCAGAGTTGGTACTGCTTGGTGACCTAAATTGGGATATGCTTAACACCCCGGCCATCCTACAATCCAAACTAGATGCCCTCAATCTCACACAAATTATCAACGAACCTACCAGGTACAACCCTAAATCCGTAAACATGGGTACCCTCATAGATATCATCCTGACTAACTTACCCTCTAAATACACCTCCGCTGTCTTCAACCAGGATCTCAGCGATCACTGCCTTATTGCCTGCGTCCGTAACGGGTCCGCGGTCAAACGACCACCCCTCATCACTGTCAAACGCTCCCTAAAACACTTTAGCGAGCAGGCCTTCCTAATTGACCTGGCCCAGGTATCCTGGATGGATATAGATCTCATTCCGTCAGTAGAGGATGCCTGGTTGTTCTTTAAAAGTAATTTCCTCTCAATCTTAAATAAACATGCCCCATTCAAAAAATACAGAACTAAGAACAGATATAGCCCCTGGTTCTCCTCAGACTTCACTGCCCTTGACCAGCACAAAAACATCCTGTGGCGTACTGCATTAGCATCAAATAGCCCCCGCGATATGCAACTTTTCAGGGAAGTTAGGAACCAATATACACAAGCAGTTAGGAAAGCAAAGGCTAACTTTTTCAAACAGAAATTTGCATCCTGTAGCACTAACTCCAAAAAGTTTTGTGACACTGTAAACACTTCCTCCCAGCTGCCCACTGCACTGAGGCTAGGAAACACTATCACCACCGATAAATCTACAATAATCGAGAATTTCAACAAGCATTTTGCTACGGCTGGCCATGCTTTCCACCTGGCTACCACTACCCCGGCCACCAACTCTGCACCCTCCGCTGCAACTTGCCCATGCCCCCCCCCCCCCCGCTTCTCCTTCACACAAATTCAGACAGCTGATGTTCTGAAAGAGCTGCAAAATCTGGACCCCTACAAATCAGCTGGGCTAGACAATCTGGACCCTTTCTTTCTAAAACTAGCCGCCGAAATTGTCGCAACCCCTATTACTAGCCCGTTCAACCTCTCTTTCGTAACGTCTGAGATCCCCAGAGATTGGAAAGCTGCCGCGGTCATCCCCCTCTTCAAAGGGGGTGACACTCTAGATCCAAACTGTTACAGACCTATATCCATCCTGCCCTACCTTTCGAAAGTATTTGAAAGCCAAGTTAACAAACAGATCACCGACCATTTCGAATCCCACCGTACCTTCTCCGCTATGCAATCCGGTTTCCGAGCTGGTCATGGGTGCACTTCAGCCACGCTCAAGGTCCTAAACGATATTTTAACTGCGATCGATAATAGACAGTACTGTGCAGCCGTCTTCATCGACCTGGCCAAGGCTTTCGACTCTGTCAACCACCGCATTCTTATTGGCAGACTAAATAGCCTTGGTTTCTCAAATGACTGCCTCGCCTGGTTCACCAACTACTTCTCAGATAGAGTTCAATGTGTGAAATCGGAGGGCCTGTTGTCTGGACCTCTGGCAGTCTCTATGGGGGTGCCACAGGGTTCAATTCTTGGGCCGACTCTTTTCTCCGTGTATATCAATAATGTCGCTCTTGCTGCTGGTGACTCTCAGATCCACCTCTACCCAGACGACACCATTTTGTATACATCTGGCCCTTCATTGGACACTGTGTTAACAAACCTCCAAACGAGCTTCAATGCCATACAACACTCCTTCAGTAGCCTCCAACTGCTCTTAAACACTAGTAAAACTAAATGCATGCTCTTCAATCGAACGCTGCTGGCACCCGCCCACCCGACTAGAATCACTACTCTCGACGGGTCTGACCTAGAGTATGTGGACAACTACAAATACCTAGGTGTCTGGTTAGACTGTAAACTCTCCTTCCAGACTCACATTAAGAATCTCCAATCCAAAGTTAAATCTAGAATCGGCTTCCTATTTCGTAACAAAGCCTCCTTCACTCATGCTGCCAAACATGCCCTCGTAAAACTGACTATCCTACCGATCCTTGACTTCGGCGATGTCATTTACAAAATAGCCTCCAACACTCTACTCAGCAAATTGGATGTAGTATATCACAGTGCCATCCGTTTTGTCTCCAAAGCCCCATACACTACCCACCACTGTGACCTGTACGCTCTTGTTGGCTGGTCCTCACTACATGTTCGTCGTCAAACCCACTGGCTCCAGGCCATCTATAAATCACTGCTAGGCAAATCCCAGCCTTATCTTAGCTCATTGGTCACCATAGCAGCACACACCCGTAGTATGCGCTCCAGCAGGTATATCTCACTGGTCTTCCCCAAAGCCAACACCTCCTTTGGCCGCCATTCCTTCCAGTTCTCTGCTGCCAATGACTGGAACGAATTGCAAAAATCTCTGAAGCTGGAGACTCTTATCTCCCTCACTAACTTTAAGCATCAGTTGTCAGAGCACCTTACCGATCACTGCACCTGTACACAGCCCATCTGAAATTAGCCCACCCAACTACCTCATCCCTATATTGTTATTTATTTTGCTCTTTTGCACCCCAGTATCTCTATTTGCACAAAATCTCTTGCACATCTAGCATTCCAGTGTTAATACTAATTGTAATTATTTTGCACTATAGCCTATTTATTGCCTTACCTCCATAACTTGCTACATTTGCACACACTGTATATATATTTTCTGTTGTATTTTTTGACTTTATGTTTTTTTTTACCCCATATGTAACTCTGTGTTGTTGTTTTTATTGCACTGCTTTGCTTTATCTTGGCCAGGTCGCAGTTGTAAATGAAAACTTGTTCTCAACTGGCTTACCTGGTTAAATAAAGGTGAAAAAAAAAAAAAAGAAAAAAAGAGGCTCAGCACAGCAGTCAGAACACAGTCCCAGTGAGAGTGTGTTTGGTTCAGCTCTGTTAGCTGGCTGCTGTGTTCTGTATGTGGGCCAGTCAGTAGGCTTGCTCTCTAGAGGAGACAGCTCTGAGTCTCAACTGTTTGGGAGCAACAGCACTAGATGGAGTACTTACTGTTTCACTGCCACTGAAAACCTCTATTATACGGACCTCTGTAGACACGATGTTCAGAGGGTAATACAATGCTTTGTATGGGTTCTTAATGTGTTATTACTGCTTTACAGGCTGAGAAACTGTATATCATTGTATTTGAATGGGTTATGCTGTCACATTAATAACATTGTTTATCTCCTCAGGGCTCCGCCCATAATAGGTTACCTGCCGTTTGAGGTTCTGGGTACATCTGGGTATGACTACTACCATGTGGATGACCTGGAGACACTGGCCAAATGCCACGAACACTGTGAGTCCGTTTCTTGTCGCATCTGTGTATTTTAAATAAGTGCACATTTTATGAGTGTGTTTGTTTTCCTGTCCAATGTACACATCTGTGACATCATCTCTCTCCTCTCTCTCTCTCTCGCTGTGTTTTGCAGTAATGCAGTATGGGAAGGGGAAATCGTGCTACTACAGGTTTCTCACCAAAGGGCAACAGTGGATCTGGCTCCAGACCCATTACTACATCACCTACCACCAGTGGAATTCCAGGCCCGAGTTCATCGTCTGCACGCACACTGTCGTCAGGTAAAGATCGACCAATCACTAAAAATGATATTCATATGCATATCTTGCAAACAAGTATATGTGTCAGTCATACTACATATAACCAGCATTATTGCATTGATATCCTAAACACTATCACATACACTACCATCAGGCATTGTGTTATGATGTTCAACCCTGTCTCTCTCTTGTGGTGCAGTTATGCTGAGGTGAGGGCTGAACAGCGCAGAGAGCTGGGGATTGTTGAGGAGTCGCCACCAGAGATCTCTGCAGTAGATAAGGTGAGACATTTATCAGACCAATGTGAGAACTTGCTGACCGCTGAACATAAGAAATCACTGAGTCCAGGAATAAAGAGGTGGCTGATTTTGGTTAATGACGTCTTGTTCAGCTTAAGGGATAAGATGTCTCAATGTCTGTGACTCTCACTAGAGTAAGACATGGTTAAGTGCTCAGACAACAAGGATGTTGTAAAACATATTTGGTGAGCAACAGCGGGGTTACAGGTTTTGAATGCGTCCTTCAATCCCAGTAGTATGATCCTTCTTTTCACCAATCCAACTGTGTTAGATCAGTGATTACCTCATGCAAGGGAGAAAGGAAGGATGTATTTCCAAAGTGTCTCTCCATCTCACAGCAGTCTCAGGACTCTGGTTCTGAGTCTCAACACCAGCTCAACACCTCCAGCCTGAAGGAGGCCCTAGAGCGATTTGACCGCAGCCGCACGCCCTCCGCCTCCTCACGCAGCTCCCACAAGTCCTCGTCCCACACTGCCATCTCCAACCCAGCCTGTAAGCACTGACCACATGACATTACTACATCCATCTTGTCTAATATGGTGTCATCCGTCCTGAGAGCTTCTTTGATCCTAAGAGTAAGGTGTTTGTTTTTTCCTTCTTAGCACCTAAGCTGAAGACAGACAGGGGTACACCAGGATACCAGTCAGTCTCTGCTATTGAGATGACATCACAGCGAAGATCGTCCATCAGCAGTCAGGTCAGTGTGGGTTTCTTTCAGCTTGTGGTCACCGCCTCTCTATATTTGATAGTGATTTGGTTCCAAATGTAGTTCCTGTGTTTGTATCCAACAGCAATCGATGAGCTCCCAGCACACCCAGAACACAGGGCAGAACATGGCCCCGTCCATGGTTCCACAACAACAACCACAGCAGCAACAACAACTGCAACAGCCGCAACCACCACCACATCAGCTACAGATCCAGCCCAGTGTCCAGGTGAGAAATCTTCGTCATGACGGTAATTTGGCAGTTTCTTTTGCTAGAGTCAGTGACACATTCTTTTTATTATAATGAGCCGTCCACAAACATCCCATATTTTCAACTTTGTTAGCCCATGGTACAGTTCTCCACCCAGTTGGACGCCATGCAGCACCTGAAGGATCAGCTGGAGCAGAGGACCAGGATGATTGAGGCCAACATCCAGAGGCAGCAGCAGGAGCTCAGGCAGATCCAGGAAGAGCTCAACAAGGTGCAAGGCCATGGCCTACAGGTGAGCACTGCCCCCTACTGTCTGTCTGGGGAACAGCGCTAAAAGGGCCTCTTATGTAGACCTGGGAGAGGGTTTACTGACTGTGTGAGTACTTGAACCAAAAGGTCCGCTCATTTGCGTGGATGCATGTACGTGTCATTATGCCTGTGTTTGTCTATGAAAGGAGATGAGTCTTACTCTGTGGTATTTGCTCTGGTGCAGATGTTCCTTCAGCCGGGTGCAGGTGGGCTGAGCCTGGGCTCTGTGCAGCTGGCCCAGGGGACCACCATGCAGCCAGGGGCTGCTCTCACCATGCAGGGCCAGGTGGTGTCTGCAGGTAGCCTGCAGGGCAGCACTCCGCAGCAGCACTCGGTCCAACAACAACCCCAGCAGCAGGCCCAGCCCCAACAACAGAACCTGCTACGAGACACCAGCTCTGTCCTCTCACAGTCTTCAGTGCGGTCCACTCACTCTCTGCCGCCCCAGCAGAGTGCCCTGCCGGCCTCCCTCTACAACACCATGATGATCTCTCAGCCCAACCAGGCCAATGTGGTCCAGATCGCCACCAGCCTGGCCCAGAACAGCAGCAACAACACGGCTGCCGTGGCAAACTTTGCCCAGGACCGCTCGGGACAGATCAGGTACACGATGCCACCAACAGGGTATGTTCTCCTCTCACTCGGTATGCGCCTCACTCAGCGGCTGATGTTGCTGAGAACTATGCTGATTTGCATACATTTTCGTGTGTTCGTTTTTTAAATCTGTTGCTAATTCATTGCTACCCTCACTCCCTCTTCTCTCTCAGGTTCCCTGCTGGGTCTCAGTTGCTGACAAAGCTGGTGACTGGGCCGATGGCGTGTGGAGCGGTCATGGTCCCAACGACCATGTTCATGGGCCAGGTGGTGACAGCGTTTGCTCCTCAGCAGGGCCAGACTCAGACCATCAGCATCGCCCAGCAGCAGCCTCAGCAGCAGGAGCAGCAGACGCAGGCTCAGTCTCAGGCCGAAGCCACACAGCAAGGGCTGGCCCAGCAACAAACACAGTTCCTCCAGGTGAGGTGACCACCAGAGAGTACCGTCTCTAAAGGTAGATCCAGTACTTGTCCCTATTCTGACCAGCCACGCACCTCTCTGTTCTTCCTCTCTAGGGCCCTCGGCTGCTACATGGAAACCAGTCCACCCAGTTGATCCTGCAGACGGCGTTCCCACTGCAGCAGCAAGGAGCCTTCGCCAGCACGCAACAACAGCAGCTACAACAGCAACATCAGCAGCAGCAGCAACAGCTCCAGCAGCAGCAACAACAACAGCAACAACAGCTCCAACAACAGCAGCAACAGGAGCAGCAGCTGGCCTCTCACAGGGCAGATAGCATGTCAGGCTGCTCCAGCACACAGCCCCAGTAACCCGGCAACATCCAATCAGACATGTGGACTGAACCAAGCCCAGGTCTATTTGTTTGTGTGATGGGGTGAAGAGTTCGGTTGAGAAAGCAGTATTGATACTATGCCTCTGAGGCCACCCTGCTTCAACTTGGTCTATAGAGTGAGTGATGTATGATGGATGGATGGATGGATGGATCAATAGATGGATCTCTGGCTGCCTGCACTGAACTCATGAGCCACTGGCGCGTCAGAGAGAAAACAATGCTGTGCTCACAGTGAGCACGGGTCACTCTGCTTTATGGCCATACTCAGAACTCTTCCCCCACAGAGACCTCCACTCTGTTGAGGTCCCCTCACCACGGTGACAGGGGCCAGTGCTTGTCCCCTCCCCTACCCTCTTCTTGTGTGTTCAGTGTGTGCTCCCGTCACACTCACAGATTTTATTTATGCAGGGCGATCCAGTCTGGAGCTTCAATCCAGGCTTCAAAGAAGTCCTACAGACAGATGCCTCGTTTTTCTGTATTTGTCATATTATTGTTTTTCATGTCAAAGTAATTATGGGTCAGAAAATATTTTTAAGAATGTCATGTGGATTTAACTTTTATTGTACAGAACAAAAAATATGTAAATATATGGACAAAAAAGAAAAATAACTAATATTTTATATGATGCATGAAATGAAAAGCATAGTCTGTTATTTGTAGCTTTGAATATACCGTTTTTTTCTAGTACTCTATGAAAAAAGGAAACCTAATGGTTGATCTTTTCACAGACTTTCTTCTTCCCAGGGGGTGTGTCTGTTTGGGGGCGTGGGTGTTTGTGTAGTGGACACAGCTGATGCTGCTGGTCGTGTCACAGTTTGTTTCATCCTCTTCCTCACTTTCGTAGTTTTAGGAAAACTCCTCTATTGAGATTAAAAACAGAAATGTTTTAAAGTTACAATATTTTTTTAGAATATATATTGTAGTCCAAAGCGACATGTTGAGGACTAAATAGATACATGCTTTTACTCAGAACAATATTTTAAATAGTAAATAAAGCAAAGACCCAAAGTTGACCAAATATACTTTAAATGGATCCTATGGAAAGCTTATGAGCTCCTTATTTACTCTGCCATCATGCCTCATAACATTTGTCATAACTATTCATAAGCATTTTTTACTTTTAAAAAGTAATTAGTGTTTATCTTTAGTTTATTTAAATTTGAGGCATTATGACTTTTAAGAGTGGTCTTGTAACGCTCATAGCAATGCATGCAAAGTACCTTTAGGTACAGACTATACTAGTGCTTTACAATACTGTAATTTTTTAGCCCCAAAGGCTTGTGTAGAAAAATGAGTATTCTCATATAAATATATATTCAATTACGTTTTAAATGGTCACAAAAATTACCTTAAACTAAGAAATGCAATTCACACAGTGATATTTCCACCGTTAGAAATCTAGTATCTGTTCTATGAATGAAATGCATCCCCTTATGTTCCTACTTTCTCCTGTCACTTGCAACTACAGCATGTTTATGTCCTTTATCTCCTATGAAGCCTTTTATGGGTTGGCAATGTCAGAACAAACAAATGAGTGACATCTCTCCTCTTTAGAAAATTAAATGATGGTGGATCTCATCAAATAAGTGTTTGGACAGAATGCCGCTAGCAATTGTTGTGATCTGAGTTCATCTTCATGTGTTAGTAAAGTGAGCTTGTCTGTTTATCTAAAGCTGTTTATCTAAAGGGGGGGGGGGGGGGGGGGGGGGGGGTTACTGTCTTAACCAAGAGATGTTCAAATGCTCATCTGAGCTACTGGGGTCATTAAAGTAAACATATAGCACTTATTTTATACCTCTTAACATTATGTACCCCTTACAGACAGTACTCTCCACTTCTCAGTTGTTTGAATGGGAGAAGACAAACTACAACAATGTATCCTAAAGTGCACTGTGGCTAAGCCCAGTCCAAACAAGAATAGAGCAAATGCTAAGGCTATTTGATCCATGACCTAGAACACACATTACCTCTGAAATAGGTGAAACTGGCGTTAGTTGGACCTGCCAAGAGAATTAATTGAAACAATTCATCATACGGATAACAGACGTGGTATGTTTGAAGTTTTTCTGCTCCTGCTGCTCCTGTCAGACTGTACGTAGCCCCATGTAACTGTGTTATAAGGTGATGGTTTGATTGTCGTGCTGATGGGGTGTCACTTTCCATGGCAAATTTAAAATGACTGTTGTTGAGTGGGGTCCTATGAACTGGTTGTACTGTACATTGCCATATTAACTTCCATAGGGGATTTCCAGGTTTCTATGGTAACTGTTGTGGAGTGGGGCTCGAGTCTGGTTTTCCAAGCTGCTCATTTCTTGTCAGGGGCCTCTGTAGAATGCCACTTTAGTAGTAGTCATCATGAATGTTCACTTGTCATGGTTAGGGACAGGATTAGTTAAATTCATCTCAAGAAAAAAAACTATTGCCAAACTATTTAGTTATGCTTGCTTGGGCATTTCTCATTCCTTGATTTTCAGTGTGAAAATCCTGAATCATGTGGTCAGAAATAAGTTGTTTAATTAGTAGCATTTATCTTTGTGGTCTGTTTGATTTAAATTGACTTTTCTTTATAGATGGCAATTTTTTTTTTGAGGATTGTGTGAAACCTACATTATTTAACTTTTTATTGGTAGAAGTTGTCAAATCACATATCAAACCTCTCTGGTATCACAGCACAACACTATAAAATGTCTGTGCCCTCTAGGGGTAATTTCCTGCTCTGGTCTCTAACAAGGCTGGCTGCTCCAATCTATGTTCATGTTGCAGTACCTCATGGCAAAACTGTCCCAGGCCCTTGTGTTTACAGTGCAGTAAGTCACACGAAGTCTGCTATTCTCTGCTTTTTGAAATTCACGCATAGTGCAAATGGTGGTCCCTGCTGCTAGGCTATTAGTGGTGCATTGCCTTGTACAGTAGAACTAAGCTGGTCCTTCTCATAACCACAAAGTTAACGCATATCGGCACAGATTATTCAACACTTTGTATAGAAACGGTTGCTCTTAGTTGTTTCGTCACTGTGATTTTATGATATTCTTTTGACACAAAGTAAACCTGTGCCACCTATGGCGTGATAAACCTTACAGCTACCAGTACCGGGTCAGGCAGTGCAATACTTGAATGAATGTAATTCAATATCAAACACTAACATAGTTGTGTAAAAATGGTCATGCATAATTAAATTAATAGTTGAGGGGGGCTTGGTTAAAAGTATTTTAACAGAAAACAAACCTCATTTTAAGATTATTTTTCTATTGCCAAGCTAGACCTCAAAAGATGAATTGAGCTAGTAGATATGTAACGTCATACACTGTAATATACTGATTTCATTGTGTAGAAAGGGAAGCAAAACAGAAAATACATCTACCCACTGAGTTACCTCAAATGAGAAAGGAATAAAACAAACTGTGACACGTGTGAAGACTATTGATTTAATGTCCCCAAAACAGAACTCCTCATGAGCTCATGGTTATGCAAAGGTGTACTGAAATATTTAAAGAAATCCCTATTTAACATCATATATCCCCCCATGTAATTGGTTTCTTTTTCCCAATAAATGTTATAAATTCTCTGAAAAAGTGATGAGGAATACTAGATACTTTTGTTTTTATTAAGTTTTAACAATTACGAATGCTAGATTTTAATATTTTGGACCATCTCTAGGATGACCACATTTATGGTCCATTTTAACAAATTACCCATATAAGACTTATTCACATGTTTATTGGACGTATCAAAGTAGGGAATCCCCTATGTTGTATCTCAAAAGGCTACAATAAGGTAATTCAACCCAGACTATGTGAGGTGTGGAAAAATGGAGGGAGTGGTATTAATGTGTTGTATCCAAAGCGAAAGATGGGAATAAATTGTTATACCTGTTTTTAATACCCTGATGGGAAGCCCAATGTAAAAGGTGGGGAATCATGTTCAATGTTCTGATGTACACACTAGAAGTTCTGAATGTCTGTCAGTGAGTGTACTTCTCTCTGCTATCATTTCATCTTTGTATGTGTGGCGTTCTTTGCAGAACACTTGTTTGGCTCATGAAATTAATCTGTGCAGGACACTTTCCAGAAAGCACCTGGAACTGAAATTCTGTTTTAATCGTCAATATCTCTTGGCACTATCGAGTCATAGCCTTGGGCTATGTTCCACTTTTTACACCAGCTGTTCTTGACTTGGGCTAACCCATAATTAGACTTCTAATTTTAGATTTAGAACAAGTAGAATGGACAGTTTGTAGTTTAATGGATTTCTCAACATTTTAGTCAAGTAACACATTTCACAACCTCTGGCTAGTTCTGTGACACCATATTAGTTGAACCCCAAAATTCAAACACCACATTGATCCTTGAGTGCCCAGAAATCAGTAGAATGGACCAACATATTTAATTGTTCTCAGAGTACCCATATTAAAAAAAGACTTACTACGGTGGCCTCATTTATTTGGGAGTTTCATACCCATTTTATTTCTATGGTGCTAACCCTGCTCTGCAGCATAGCTAAGTTAGGTTGTGTGAAAACCCTAAGACACATTCTGAAGGCATTTTTCATTTTAATGGTGTTTTAATATCACTGCAAGGAGTGTGCTGCTATACATTAATTTCTAGAGCCAGACTAATCTTACATAAACTAAACATAATGGAACCTTTTAAAGCAAACAGTGCCGTTTTCTCCCCTTATTCAATAAAAACGTCTGTTTTCAGTTGAATCCTTTGATGGACAAACCAAACTAGAAGTCGAGTGTCAATTGTCAGGTAAGAAACCTGCTTCTCGCAATTCGCTGCAATCACTCATATCCGGCAGATAGCCTAGCAGTTAAGAGTGTTTGGCAAGTAACCGAAAGGTTGCAAGTTCAAATCCCTGAGCTGACTAGGTGAAATATCTGTCTGTGCCCTTGAGCAAGGCACTTAACCCTAATTGCTCCTGTAAGTTGCTCTTGATAAGACAGAGTCTGCTAAATGACATGTAAATATCCAGGATAACTTGGTGCATAAAATATAGTTAAGGTAAGACATTCTAAGCATGACAGGTTTTATTGAGCATTTAAACATTGATCAGGCTTTTCAATCAAAAGTTAATTTGTCGCAAACCACGTACATGTACACGCTTGATCGGTGTCACAGGGTAAAACTGGTCAAATATTGACAATGGCGTCACATTACCCTGTGCACTTTTTTAAAAGGTATATTCTTGTCTACAGTACCTTCCAAAAAAAAAAAAGTGAACAAGAACAACATCCTCATCTGTGCTCCAAAGTAGTAAATAAATACCATAACCAACCACTCAGGAAAGGTGCAGTAGAATTAGTGGCTCAGGACCTTTTTAATCGGCAGTGAAATTTAGGAGGAAGTAAATAAATATTTAGTTCCATGATTTCATCACCAGTAGGCCTCAGACAACCTCTTTATAAACCCTATTAGCAATTTGAGTGGCAGACAACAGACAGACCAGAGTAGGCTGGTGGGGGAGCTATAGGAGGAAGGGCTCATTTATAAATGGCTGGAATGGTATTAATGGAACGGAGTCAAACGGGGTTTGATACTGTTCCATTCCAGACATTACAATGAGCCGTCCTCCTATAGCTCCCCCCGCAGCCTCCATTGGGCCAGACTGGCCGTGGGGTGTTTCGCTGCCTCGAGGCCAGAATGTAGAATACTGACACTGAATGGGTTACTGCTGCTTCAGGATCCCCATGATGCTTAGAACTGGCATGTCCTGTCTATCTAGCAGATGGAAATCGCTGAATAGAAATATTCACAACAGTGAAGAGATTCCCATCCCTGATACAGCTGGATAAATGGTAGATCAACTCATTATGGGGTTTATGAAGCTAAGTCTGCCCAATGTTACTGTTCAGATGACATTCTGAGGGGAACAAAAAGTATGGGAGTTGACCTGAGGCCTGGCCATAGATCAGAGGGACTGAATCTCTCCACAGTGACCATAACACTCCCCTCCATGGGACTGACCTGGAATCAGTGTTCAGCCGGCATTGACATGGCTGCTAAGCAACACAGCTAATGCTGAGGGGAGATTCTATGCACTCAAAGGATGAGCTGCTCTTAAAGACGTCCTCCAGCAATTTTTTTTTAACTTTTCCTGTTGAAAAGCAATATCCCAAGTACACACACAAGGGTAAAAAAATAATATTTGCACATGTTTTATTTTGGTGGGGGGGACAACTGCAAGCTTCAAGGAGTAGGGCATTCGATCACTTGGTCTGATGGTGCCCTCTGATGTAATTGACCACCCCCTTGCTTGAGGAACAATAGAGAACAAAAGAGGAAAGCCCCCCCCGTTAAGTAAATCAGATGTTAAATGAGGTGAAAATGAGACTGGAGTAGGATTTTAAAGCATAATATAATAATAACCAAGAATGGGGAATGAATGAACAAACGGAACCCAAGCTCAGTACTGACGGGCCTGAGTGTGAGGGAGAGGTAAGTCTTGTTCTGGGTGTAGGCCACAGGACTCAGACCGGTGAGGGATCACAGACTCAGTAAGACAAGAGAACAGAATTCACACAGACACGAAGTCCCATTAGAGAATATTCTCCATATTTCTCTCTCTCAAACCACACACATTCTCACAAACACACATTCTCGCTCTCACACACAGCCTCTCTTAATAAACATAGTTGAGCTTTACAGGTATGTACAAAACTTCCCTCCAATTAGAATCCAGCATCTGGCTTGATGAAGAGGGCAGAGAAGGCAAAGGCCAGGAACATGATCCCACCAATGATTGTAACTGAAGAGGAGAGAAAAACACAGAAGTCCAAAACACAATTCCAATGACTACTACATTCATTACAGTATAGGCTATGATGACCACTTGACCAGGAACACTGAAAGGAAGAAAATAAAAAAACATTACCAGTTCTGACAGATATCTTCTGTGCAATCATCCTTCCTCCAACCACAGCCAGTCCTGTGCACAGACAGTGTCCCAGAGTACCACCCACTGCCACTCCAAAAGGATCCTGAGACAGAGCATTGGTTTATGACACCTTTAACCCTCTCATAGAACCAAAAAGCATGACAGTACAGTAGAAAGAATGCACAAGAATAATTCCTTAACAATACAATTCCTTTTGAGTATACACAGCAACAGTAACCCTTCATCCTGACCTTAATCATTAACTGACTTTGTATCTACTGTAAAATACTTTGCATCTTTATAGCCATGGCTTGAAGTCAAGTGTAACATTTGCCATAGTGTGCCATTTTGACTAGGCAAGCGGACAGACTCAACAGTGGGTCTGTCAGGACTCACCTCCTGGGCACCCAGGATGATGGTGGTGAGCTGAGAGCGGTCTCCCCACTCTGCCAGGAAGGTGAGGGTGAAGGCCTGGATGAACACAGGCGAGATGAAGCTGTGCCACTTCCTCTGAGGATGGCTTGATCCTGAGCCCGACTCAACATCTGGAGCCCCATTTACCAGCTTAGACATCTGCAGCTATAGGAAATAGGAATACAAGCCAAACATTGAAACCCTAGAACAAGAGATACGGCAGGGTAATATGAAAATGCATAACAATATGCAAATGTAGGGAAAAGGCCGTGTGTGTGTACAGACCTCCTCATCCTTCTTTTTAATCTCAGCCTGCACCTCCTCCAGCTCCTCCTGGCCCTCATCTGGACTCATCTTCAGCCCCTCTCTCAGCATGCGCACACCAAAGATAGCGAACAGAGCCGTAGACACGTAGTATGTGTAGATCCTGGGGATGATAGTGGTGGCATAGCCAAACATCACTGATAAAAACACAAGAAAGTCTTGGTTAGACAAAGAACAGGCAGGGTGATGGCCCTGTAGTCTGTACAGATCCAAATATTCACACAAACATTCGGACAAACCCAGGATGCATCAGTGGTATCTCCACTAATTGGGATACATGAACGAACTTAGAAGCCAGGTCACATCTATTCCAATCACAGGGGTTTTTCTGCAAAGAAAAGTCTTGGGTGGGCCACCTACGTGTTTTTCGGGCCGTCTATGTCCAAACAGTAAAACATTTAAATAAATATTTTATGAAAATAATTGTTGGGATTGAAAAATGTTCTGTGTAAACCTAAACCCAAATGTTGTTTAAGTTTACGATATAAAGTATTTAGAAAATATAATGGACCTAGATATTTTTTAATAAGATCATCTTTGATAACTAACATTCACCTAAATAAAAGCTAGACAGCCAGGGAGAATGTTAAACTCAAATGTATGCATTCAGGAGTATTTTGGTCATTGATGTTGTTATAATGTTTGAGTCATTCAGATAGTATAAGACATGGCAAATTGTGTAGAATTGCAGGAAATTGCTTTAAAACTGAATTTCTTTCTCTCAGCCTCATAGCAAAATGTGTAGAATTGCAGGAAATTAGCAAACTGCAACATTGTATCTCCGCCACATGGCAAAATGTGTAGAATTGCATGAAATTTGCTTTAAAATCGCAAAATTGGGCCACTGCAGCAAACAGGAGGGCCTCTAACGTTTTCAGTCGGGTACTGCACCATTGACCACGGCCATGTCCACACCCCCGCCATGCCCACCACCTATACCCCATTTTGAACCAGAAAACCCCCAGAATCATCAGGGGCCCCCCCTCTCACCCACTAACCTGAGATGCAGGTCATAAAGCCAAGCGCTAGCATTGCCCCCAACAGCACAGTGAGGCGGTTGTAGCGCATTGCCATGATGGCAGCGATGAAGAAAGTCTTGTCTCCCAGCTCAGAGACAATGATGACAGAGATGGCAGCCACAAAGGCATGGATGAAGCCCAGGTTCTCGGATTTGCTTGAGTCATTTCCACTGACCTCAGGGCCAATGGCGTGAGCAGTAGGTGCTTTCTGTTGAAGAGGGAAACAAATGTCAGTTCAGGTCCACAACAGGTTGGCCATGAAAACCATGTTATGATTAGTGTGTCCACATAATGTATCTTGGAATGTGTAAAGTCTGTCTAATTGAAGCAGGTAGTCAAGTTACGTTGAGGGGTACAATAATACTCGTTAGCTATGAGAATCAATTACTTCACTGATTGCTAGTTCAACTTCCTGACTTGGGCTCGTGACATGAACAGAACGCGGAACTGAACACCACACGAGCTCGAAAGGAACAGCCAGCAAACCCAGATTGCAATGTTTCCCCCCAATCCATGTCCCCAAAACGTGAACCTCGAAAGGAGGTCAGTGACTAGGGGAATAGATACTGGTGGTGGTGACGTTACTTTGGCTATACTAACTAGCTAGTTAGCATTAGCTATCTATGTGGAATGCTTTCGAGTTGCTAACGTTAGTTAGCTAGCTAGTCCGCTACCGTTAGCATGCATGCGAAACATCGGTGTATTGCATTTTATTGATGATCGCTAGCTAGCTACCTCTTGTGGCGTTTGTTCTTGGACTGGTTTGTGTTCCTCCTGGATCCCAGCAACTCCGGCCGACATCAACACGGCGACAGCCAGGGGCAGCAGGACACATATCACACTTCTGTTAGCCCTTCCATCCCTTACGCCGGCCAGGAGAAGCATTTCAGCGAAGCGCGCAGATTATGTTAAAATGCTGATAATAAGGGCAGTTTGCAGTAGCGTAACTATGTGTTTATCAAAATTACTGCGCCCTGACTGTGTGATTCACTCGATATAATTAGCTGTAAACTGCCTAACTACATAGCTAGCTAGTAGTTCGCAGAGAAGGCAATCTGTCCCTCACTGACTGATCGAACTCATACGGGATATGAAGTTGGTACCTGAAAGACAAGGAGGACGTTTATGTAATGTGCTGACGTACCTACTCTGCAGTACTGTCATTGGCTATTTCAACTGTCAATTGCTAGATGTCATGGAAAATGTCACTTTAGAGATACTTGCAAATCCATGAAGGAGTGCGTTCAGTACGACAGAACGGTGTGCAACGTTGAATAGAACGGTTATGTACTGAACGACCAGTTAAATAACGTTGTGGTTGTATGGTTAGCTGCGGGAAGTAGGAGCGCTGAGCAAGCCTCGAAAGAAATCTGTGCATTGTGCCCTTGGGCTGAATATAATAAATATAATTACCTTCTCCAGACTGCCAATCGCCCATGCTCCGAAGCACCTCTCAATTACATGGCTCTCTCAGATATCTCAATTCTTATTAGCCAATGCCCCTCACCTGATCGGGTCCTTCTCACAGGCATTGCAGCTCCAAAGTAGGCTACAAGGGAAGATAGACACATCAGGGATGCAACGGTGCGCCTCCTTCTTATCAAATTCCGAGGCGCATATTGATAAGATGTTAGAAGAACTGTCCACATTTACTTTGTCAGCCAACAAGATGAGTAAGGAACAGCAAAAGCACTAGCCTATGTCAATCTACTATATCCAATAGTACAAAAGTTGACCTATTCCAAACATACTCTGGGACAGTTGTGGGATGCTATAGATCCCAAATTAATACAACAAACCTTTTAAAAGGCATGAGGCTGATGCAACAGATCAGAATGTTTAGCTTAAAATGTTGATAAACTATTAGGGTATTTCTTCACATTATAAGCATAGCAATGCGCACACTGCAGTAGGCTATAAAGCGAATGTTCCAAAATGCAATTAGTGGGAAAACACAGTTCTCAAAAGTGCACCGCAAATGCTAGCGGTTTCATATGAAAGAGATGAAAATATCCTTCAGAAATGTAGAAAGAGGGAAGCTCTAAAGACGCAACAACAAGCATGGATTGTTAATATGACTAGGATTGTGTCTTTGGATGATGGACAATGAAAGAAGGTTGAGAACATGAGAGAAATACAGGTTTCAATGGCATAGGAAGTGTTTATAAAATAATCCCCTTAACATTCCTATGTTTGGAACACAGTAAGACATGCCTCATAACATGATGGAAAAATGTCAAAGTTTTAAACAATTACCTTAATGGTTAAAGCGTTTCAAAATGTTGACTGCCTCCGCTCAGATTGCAAGGTGGGTGATGTTGCAGTGCGCAACAGGCACTGGCCTTTCTCTCCTATCTGAATGAACAGTGCCTCAAGTATGGCTACAGAATCAAGACTTTTGATATTAATAATGATCCTACATTATATTTGTCAAACATGACTGGCGTTTAGCCTATATATATGTAATTAAAAGTCTCACTAAAGTGGCTACATTTTCAGGGGCCTCCCTCGTGTCAGCATCGGTCTGGACATGACAGGCTGTAGCCAATATACATAGGCTATCACCTACACTTCGACATGTAGGCAAATTATTTATGTGCATTTGTAACAGATGTATATCGTACTCTCCTTGCATTGTGTTTTCTCCTAATAAACCACATCAGCCAGTGGTCCCAGTTGAACATCATTTATTTCTGTTATTAAATGGGAAACAGCACGTTAGTTGTGCAGAGCTTAACGATATGGATGGTTGTCGGTGGCAAAATCTGTAGCATGAAGGCAACTGTGTTAGCAGTGGGCTTATGTGACCATTATGTCGGTGTATGCTAGCTAACACACTTGTCTACAGCAATCATATGCCAAAGCACATCTCAGAAAGCCCCTCAATCCCTAACAGGTACAATATACCCACACATGTATAAATCAGTAACGTACAGCAACCTTGTACACATTGTAAAATATAAAACAGTATTCAGAACATGACCTACCCCTTGCATCACATTTTCATACTGGGAAGACCTGACGTTCGCGATCTCCCCCCCTAGCTGCAAGCAGGGCCAATCACAACACGCCTTATTGTCATCAGAGTTGAACCAACCAATAAGAATGCTTGAACATTAAATACACATTTCTTTAGAGGCAAGTGGAAACATAACCAACCCTGTTACACTGTTTTTCTTAACAGAATAGCTACTGTTTTTCGGTTTTCAAATCAATTGAATTGCCTATTCTGGTTAATGACCTTGGTGCACTAGCAGCCCTTGGTGCCCTGGCAGATTGGACACCTCTTCAAAGCCAAATGACTTTGCCCTAAAATCACAAAATCACAGGCCTGGTGCTGAGGCTGCTGCAGCAGCCCCTGAAAATCAGAATTAAAAAATAAATAATAATAACTGGAATTTTTCACAAAAGGCCTTTACTAGTCCTGTATTAGCAGACCGATATAGCCTTCTGTAGCGCGGGCAAAAACAACCATACCACCCCCCCCCTCTCTAATGTAGAAGAGTAATAAAAGTGATGGTCAAATAAAGCAATTCATATAATGCCATTAGTTTAAAAATGCTGGAAGGTTTTTTCAAAAGAATGACTTCATTACTGCAATTTATGTTGGGGACAATCTCAGGTCATTGTAAGATGAAGCCCTTGACATGGTACATAGCCACTGACATGGACACCAATGCCAATCGTTACCTAGTAGAGCTGCTGCTGTCAGTCACAGCATGGGCTAGGGCCTGGCATAAACCCTACACCTTAATTATGTCACATTAAGTACACAAGCCAAGGCACGCACTCTCTTATCAGTCCTTGCAAATGTACACATACAATTTCCCCTGTAAACGGTGTCCTTATCAATGTTGTCCTGTGTTACGAACCCCGTGGCTCTAAACGTCTAGGGTGGATGGACATGAGACCCGTAACAAACTATGCAAATTAGGAGTGTGGCATGGAACAGTGAGAACAAATAGGACACAACTACCATGAACTACCGTCAAACACACATGGTTTATTTCAGAACACACGGTAAGGGTTTGGGAAAAAGGGCTGAGCAGGACCCAAGAAATGAAACAATAGTGTAAAACCCCCTAAACTGATCTAGCCTGCCTGAAGAACCGCTAGGCTACTGCTAGTCATACAAAAGTACAGTGGGTGGTCCGCTCAGGTCTAACTAGTGTTTTTAGACAGCTTTCTTCCTACGGGTAATGTACGCCCAAGGGCAACTAGCTTAAACTCCCCTTTTCCCAGAAACACACAAAGCTACCAAACAGGGTAATCAGCAATTAAATAAGTACACACCACACAGGACACAACAGTATCCACACTCAGGTAAAGAAATAGTTTCTAATAAAGTTACCAACAGGGTAACCAACAACTTAGTGAGTACACAACACACAGGACACCACCGTGTCCATACTCACATATGGCAAAAAATCTCTCTCTCTTCCAACAAACACAAGTCTGGTTTTTATAAAATGGGATGTGTGATTGAACAAACGAGTAACAGGTGGTGCAATTCACAGGAATGTTCACTGATTGGTCCAATCAGCAGACACCTCAACGACCACCAATCAGGAACATACAGGACACCTGTGATTAGGGCAGAAGGAGAGAAAAACACAGGACACAGGATACCTGTATCCGTAACACTCCCACCCTTAAAAGAGCAAACCACAATGGTTTGCGACACACGTACTATCACAACACCCAAATTCACAAATCATCCTGCCGGGATAACAAAAAAAAACCTAGATCATTACACACGAGATTGACGTTTTCTATCAGGAGTCTGTATCACGTAGTCAGTTTCACTTAGTTTCTTTTCAATGACATAAGGACCAGAGAAACGTGCTGACAATGACGCTCCTGGCACAGGCAACAATACAAGAACTCGGTCACCTGGCTGCAGTGAACGAGAAACAGCCTGTGTGTCATAGTGTCGTTTCATCCGTTTCTGTGAGGAAGACAGTGCTTCCTTTGCTAGAGCACAGGCAGCATGTAGGCGCTCACGAAAGCGACTAACGTAGTCCAACACATTTTCTTTCACACACAACTCTTGTGACAAAAACTGATCCTTAAGGACTTTCATAGGTCCTCTCATGGTGTGTCCAAACACCAGTTCAGCTGGGCTGAACCCTAGGGATTCCTGTACTGTCTCACGGACAGCAAACAACACTAGAGGAACTCCCTCATCCCAATCTTTCTCAGATTCCAAGCAATATTTACGGAGCATAGACTTCAGGGTCTGATGCCAACGTTCAAGCGCACCCTGAGACTCTGGGTGATATGCGCTTGACACACGGTGTGTAACTGACAAGGATTTTAACACTTGTTTGAAAAGTTTAGAAAGGAAATTCGTACCCTGATCAGTTTGTATCACCTTAGGTAATCCAAAAGTTGAGAAGAATTTGATCAACGCTTTACTCACCACCGGAGCAGTAATCCTTCGCAGAGGAATGGCCTCTGGGTACCTGGTGGCCACACACATAATTGTCAACATAAACTGGTTACCAGATTTTGTTTTTGGTAATGGTCCAACACAATCAACCATCACATGTTCGAATGGTTCACCTATGGCCGGTATGGGACACAGAGGCGCGGGGGAAATAACCTGGTTCGGTTTCCCAACTACTTGACAGGTGTGGCAAGTCCGACAGAACCGAGCCACATCTTATTTTAAGCCAGGCCAAAAGAAATGTCGCAAAACTCGATCATAAGTCTTGGTGACTCCCAGATGTCCGGACCACTGGTGATCATGAGCGAGGGATAAAACATTTTGTCGAAAGGCTGTAGGAATCACTATTTGGTAAACAGCATTCCAATCTCCGCCAGCGTCAACATGGGATGTCCATTTACGCATGAGGAGATTACCATCAAGGAAGTATGCCATGTTTTTCTTCTTTAGCTCCTCCTCTGAGACAACACTAGAAAAACATTTAGCCAGGCTAATGTCAACCTGTTGGTTAGCGATCAGCTGCTCACGAGTAACTGGTAACTGTATGGCCTCAGCAACAAGTTCCACATCCTTCTTCCTTTCTCTGGGCTGTTGGTCAGACTGCACCAGCTTACCAGAGGTAGCACCCGAACTATCCTCTGGGTCACACTCTCTGAATAGAATCGTGTTCGACA